AAGATTTAATATGTGTAATAGAAGAAGATGGTATCTGATAGCTAAGATGCAAACCGCAAAGGAAATTCGAACGTAATGCCAATGTGAGGAGTTCCCTGGTGATCCCAGGATGGCAAATGTTTGGGATATAGACGAATATTGGAATATTCCAATGCTCGAGTAGACGGAATCGATTGACTCTGCAAAACTCACTACCCACTGCGGTGGTAAACCGTAGGCCGACGATGCGGAAAATCGGAAAACGCGGAAATGAGATGCTTCGTCGATACTGCTTATTTGCGCATTTTGTACAATAACAAGAAGAAAAACAATCCAATTTAAATAGTTTTAGGTGAATTTCCTCTAAACAAACAACCGGATACAAAAACGTAAACAAATAAGAAAATTTTTAACGAAAAAAAAACATGATATGATATCATATAATAGTGCATTAACGTTATTTACCTCCGTCTCGGCCGCGGCGTTTCTTCTTCGAGGACGAATTCTTTTGTCCGCTCGAAGATTTATCGCCCTTCTCCTTGTCCTTGTCCTTCTTCCACCGTATCAACATGGCGCCGCTGTCTGTTTAGTTTCCCACACTCTCGCGCTTCGCACTCGCGTTACGTTTTAATTTACTCGGTTACAAGCAAGTTACATTCGTTTACCTGTTTAATACACAAAACAACCAACATTACTCAACGATACATAACAGAAAATTATGACTACGACTAGGCGGATATAGATGGCGTGAGCGGGTATAACCTTAAAGCGCAATAAGTTAGCTGTTGCGTAAAATATTCCTAGTTGAAGGCTTGCTTGTATGCACAAAGCAGGCAATTAACTTGAGTTCCTCTCGACGCTCAGCGAGTAACTAAACTGCAATATAACGTCAGCGCAATACACCGTTGTCCTGGATGAGGACAAATAGCAAACAAGAAGATTTTGCATATTCCAGCCGCTGCTGCGGCTCCTTCAACCGTGCTTAGTAACAAGGGGACTCAAGAGACTCGTTCGTAAAAGTTTTCGACAAAACTTTAGTTTAGATTCGCAAGTTGTGCTTCTGTAACTCATTAGATGTTTTGGAATTTTAATATTTTGCGTTAAAATTCAATTATTTTCTTTCCAGAGTGGCAAAAATAGTTTTACTTTGCCAACAATGCCAAAGTGAATATTAATAGTGATAAGGTGTCGCCGTGGATGACAGTCGCGTCTAATATATGAAAAGCGTAAAATTTTATCACTTTTGGCGGAGGCGCCCGGTCGATTTTCAATTTGATGCCGCGAATAAATGAAGATTGAAACGTGTAATATTTCCACTATGAAAACTAGTTGATACAATTTATATTCATGTCGGTGTTTGGAATTTAAATTTATTATTTAAAACGTTTTCGCGACGGTGATTAACTTTTTTCAACTTAAAATTAAAAATCGAAAGAAGTGACACTGGAAACTTTTGATTCGAATAAGTTATTCGTCTTTTCTTGTCGTTTTAAACAAGCTTTTTGCTCCGCTTTTGACTGTCGCCGAATCTTATCTTAAGCTCATTTATAACTTCGCCTTCGGATGACGCTTGTGGTGCTGTGAGTGAAGTGAAAAGACCATTGAAATCTTTATTAGCATGTCGTTACAATGCGCTCACACTCGGCAAAAAGTTCACCAAGTTGGAGTCAAAGTTGCTATCTTGGGATTGAGTTACGGACTCGCCGAAAAAGCTCCGGGAAAGCGTGTCGATAAAAAGCGATCAAACCGCCGGCGGGCAGATGTTAAAAAATTCAATCTAGATGTTTGAAAGTGTGAAACCGAATGTTCGGAATAGTTTCGCCAAAGTTTTGGATACTTTTTCAAATATCTACAATACTATCTGCGGGAAAAACACTTTAATGTCGAATGTATCAGAATCAAAGATTAAATCTGAAGAAATCGCCAAAGAAAAACGAAAATATCACTCAAAAAACAAGAAAAAAACAAATTTTTAAAAAACTCTGCTTTGAACTAAGAAATAATCCCGTTTGGACAATACTATCTGCGGGAAAACTACTTTAATGTCGAATGTATCAGTATAAAAGATTAAATCTAAAGAAATCGCAGGAAAAACATGAAAAACGCGCTCAGAAAACGAAAAAAACGTAAAATTTTACAAAACTCTGCTTTAAACTAACAAATAACCACTTTTGAAGGTGATAACTAACAAAATATAATGTTTTTTCTATTTTTGAATGCCGCAGTCAAGATTTTCGATTTGTTGACAAACATTGGGCGTTTTCAAAACGTGACAAGCATGACGAAACAACCCCGAACATCAATTACGTCATAACATGAATGAAACCCTCACAATCACTACAATATTCCGATGATAAACCAACACTTATGAGCGTAAATTTTAATCTATCCTATCCTCACCTTAATCAATAATTGAATATAATTTCCTTATTAACAGAATAAACGTAGGCGTTACGTCAATACCCGCCCCCTTATCTAACCGCTTCAAATTCCAATTTCTCAGCCTCTTACGCAATGTTGTTGTTGTCGGAATAGTCGCAATTCCGCTTCAATTATTCAATAGCCTCAATGGATGCAATAGCGGCGCACACCTTGTCGTCGCACTGTTATTATTGTACTGCAATCGCGTGCGGTGTCGCGTCGCGAACAACTTATCACTACAATCGCGGTATCTCGGCGTGCAATGTCCGTCGAACTAGGCCGTGGTGCAAGTCGTGCTAGCTGCACGAAGTCGCGAGCGCGGATGTGTTGTAGTAGGCCGCCGGAGGATGCCGGAATCATCCAGGAGCAGTAGCAGTAGCAGCAGGGGTGGATGTGCGCACGTATGTGTGAATCGCCCCGGCGCGACATTAAGCGTGTGTGGGTGCGACCGGCGAGAGCAACGCTCGACGGCGGCGCCGGCATCGCCAGCATCCAGCATCAGGGTGGGATGCTGGAGGGTGACGTCACGCCCGCGATAATCGATAGAGGCGCTGCGACGCCAAACGACGGCCGCCCGTTGAACTAGGCCTGGCCACGCTCTCGCCGATTGTGGCCGTGCGGTGCAGTAACAAAAGCGGGGAGAACGTGCGAACGTAGGTGGGCTGAGTTCAGGAGCTGCGAGCCGAGCTCCAGAGAAGAGGGTGAACGCCCTGACTATCACGCCCTTGCAAAATCAGACCATCCAAGTCCAGAAAACTCTAATCCAAGCAAAACAACACTTTTCATTTACAACTAATCCATCAAAACCTAAATCCACACGATTTTAATACGGAATATCAAATTTTTGACTCTAAATCAAATTCTGTAAAACAACCAGAGACAAACACTAGTAGAATACTAACAAACCCTGCTGCTGTTGGCAGAAATTGAACTAGCAATAGAGTTTTATTCGTAGAAATGAATTACTTTATTCGGTGAACACCCAGAACTTTGCTATCAGCGGTAGAACAAGCGAAATGAAGATAAGAAAACTAAATAAATGTGTGCGGCATATTTCACTTCGTTTACCCGTGTAGAAAGCAAGAAAGCAGAAAGGGCAAGAATGAAACTGTCCGAAGTTTGCCTTAAAATAATATCAGACTTCCGGGTTGCGAAAAATTGGGCCATTCGCTGCGATAAATTGGCGTGAAATGAAATTACTAATTGAATTTGCTTCGAATATTAATAACCATTATCACTATTATCCACAGGGTATGTAGTTAAATGGTACATGGTCAATACTTTTAGATTTTCGAGATTGCAAGAGTAATAAATTTTATCTAAACTTTATTTCGCGTCAAAATGTTTGAGAATTATTTCCCAAGCACTCGTTTTACTCGTAGCGTGTATTAATGAAGTAGTCAGTTGACAAATCTGTGTTTATTTATTACCACGATTGGCCATAGTCCAGTCTAACAAAACAATGAAAGCAGTTGAATGCTCGTAAACGTCGTGTGCGTTTGTTGGGACATGCACCCGTCATGCCAGCTTGCAATCCACACACACTTTTAGAAATACGAGTACAGACATTGAGAATTGTTGGTGACTGTTTGCGAATACTACATTCTCCATTAGAAACCCGGGTGGTAGGAAATTTTGCTCGGGCGTCGGAGAGCATCCCCGAGTTGATAAATAGACAGATGCGGTCGCTTAAACAAATAGTAAATACACATTGTCGTTTACGGCGACTAGAATGTGCTAAACTATCGAAACATTCCGAACAAACCGAAATCCAGAGTGAAACAGGGATTATGTTTAAACCGACGAGTATAGACCCGACAGTGGTGTTGTTTTATACGACTGATGAGTATTCAAACATCACGGACCCAAAACGAGAAGAGAAAGGGGGATCTAGAGAGTATTCACAGCTCTGTACCAGGAAAAAGTGGTGGGGGAAGATATGCAACCGGAGTGCATTGCTAGCAACTACCCCCTCCACTTTTTGCGGGTACCTCGCAGGTAACATCTCCCCTTTTTTCTCTCTTCGGGTAAATTTTTAAGTAATAACCACAAAAACAATTCCCACATACATAAAATTAAAAAAATCATATACATAACCTACGTGTGTGAAAAGGATACTCGTAGAATTGAAATGTATTAGGGAAGGAATACGACGGGTATAAATAAATTGCACAAACAAAATAAACTGCGACCGACACATAACATTCATCGCAAAATCGTTTTTATTGACAAAACAATCAAAAAATAATCATACAAAATATCATCGTACGTACAATCACAATTATTTATACCTGTGCATTGCATAAATTACGTTATATATCATCATACTCTGTACTGTATCGTCATTATCATATGAAATAATATTAAACAAGAACCTAACTAGTGCATATTATCGCAAATTGTATGCAAACGAAGAAAAACTGATAATAACTCATATTTTTCCAATATTTGTTTCTCGTGCTCATAAATTATTAAACTTACAACATGAATCTCATAATCAAAACAACCTAATTGCCATTTCAATTCTACTAATAACCCATTCAAGTGAAGAATGCAAGTGTGTGAGATGAGATGAGTTTGTAAACTCGTTGCTCACTTACCCTTGCCGCTCTCGTTCTTGTTCTTGCGTCCGAAACCAAATCGTGATTTTTTCTGTTGTTCATCTGGTATTGGGGGTAAAGGACGCGAAGGAGGTTCGGTCCTTTGTGTAATCTGTCCCATATTACCATTGGAGTTATATCGATGCATATCGTTCACACTAGCAGTGAGACGTGTACCACGTTGGAAATTATTGTTCGGTTGTAGTTGTTGGTGGCTTTGATACGCCACTGGTTGTGCGTTTGAATTGCGTTGGAGTTGACCATACAACACACCCGCTTTTTGTAAGGGTGGTGGTGATAAAGGAGTCTGTTTGTTTGCATCATAGATATTCCCATAAATATCGCAAACTTTATTATTAACAGTGTTTATTTTCCTGGTGCCATAAATTGGTTCCTGTTGCCTTGGAAGTGAATCACCTGGTGGAAGATCATACCTCTGACCAGGAGGTGATAGGTCAATTTGACGTTGACGGTATTGTACACCCGAAGGTGGTTTGTTGAAATTCGGACGACCACCGTACAAAGACTCGGGGCTTACAGGTTGACGTAGGGAATTACTACGTTTTAACCCTGGTAACATGGTACCTCTTCCTGGACCACCTGGGGTAACGGTGGTCCTATACTGGAAGGACTCAGCCGTGGTCTGTTGTAATATTGTTGGTTTGGAATGGGTGGTCTTGCACCATAAGGTGATTCTGATCTAACTGACCCACTGCCCCTACGATAACCATATATTTCTTCTGTATTTTGAGGGTGAAAATGAGGGTGAGCTTGAAGATGAGGCCTAGAACCATACACGGGTTCTTGATGACCTGGTGGTGGATATCCAGGCAGATATCTCTGACCATTCTGCATAGTACCATAGGGACTCTCCATTCTTGGAGGCTGGATCTGTCTTGACCCATAAATGGGTTCCCTTTGCACAGAACCTCTAGTACCGTAAACACTCTCAGGTACCATGTTGGATGACTTTGAACCATAGATAGACTCATCTCTTTGGGGCATACCATTGGGATACATTCTAGACCCATAAGGGCTTTCAGTCATACTACGACTTGGAGGAGGTGCTGGCCTTGAAGTGTATATAGGCTCATTGTGACTAGGACGAGAACCATAAATGCTTTCATTCGCTTGTCTTGTCCCATAGGGCTCTTCATTCCGAACCATGTTGCCATTGTAAGCACCTTCGTTAATTCGAGGCATACCACCATTTCTAGAACCATAGATTGGTTCATTATGTGGACCCCTTGAACCATAAATGTTTTCATTCATAACTTTATTAGGAATTTGACTTTGCATGGGAGGTCGAGCTGCATAAATTGGTTCCCTGATAGTCCTCATCGGAGGTACTTCACTGATAACACTCGCAGAGTCCACAACCGATGCAGTACCACTATCAATAGTAGATACAGGCGCATTACTTCTTTGTGCCTTTGCAAGTAATAATTCTTTCTGCCTCTGTTGATTCAACAAAAATATTTCATCCCTTGATGGAGGCCCACCTTCCGGCGGCAGAAACACATCATCCTCCAAACTTTCCCTTCCCGTAACCCCATTAGAATCAGCATCCAAGCGTCTTTGTGGAGGACTCTGCGTGAAACCATTCTTGGTAGGCCACGCTGTATTATTCTGCGTATTGTGACTTCTGAAGCTAACCTTTTTGCTATAAATAGGTTGATCGATAGCATTTTGCTGGGTGAGACTACCACGATTAAAAATAGGTCTAGTCTGTCCATCACCTCCTCTTTGGGGACCAGTATTAAACCTCTGTTGCTGCGCCATTCTTCGAGCATTCAGTTCGATATCATCAACTCTTCTCTGACGAATCTCCCTGGGTAAACTACTACTGCGTCTGGTATCCCTTGGAGTAACAGCCATGCTTCTAGATCTTCTAATAGGATCTTCAGCGTATCCACAGGAACTGATCATTGGTCCAACCAACCTTTGCATTTGTTGTTCCTCTTGCTCTTTTAATTTCTTCAACTCCTTCCAACAGAAAGCTTCTACATTCTGACGTATTTCTTGTTTTGGTGGACTCCTCTGTAAAGAGGTGTTTGAATTACGTCGCACCATCATATTAGGTGTTATTGATCGCGAGCGACCATCTTGACTTGGTGTATTAGCCCTGTGAGGTGAATCAACATGCACCAAAGCATTAGTAGTGATTTGCACATTCTTCAATGAAGGTGAACTGGCCAAATCTCTTTGCACCCGGTGCCAATCCCCTGCTTCCAATAAAGTACTCCGGGATATTTCATTATCAGTCATATTACCATTAGTATTATTGTCTGTGACGTTAAATGAACTTGAAGAAACATCATTTTTATTAAACGAAGTAATAGACAACTCGTTTTGATTCTGATTTGTAGAAGTTTGATCAACCACATCACAAATTGTTTCGTGCAGCTCAGGATAATCAATTTCAAGTTGTAACTTTTGATGACTTGGGCTAGACCTATCCTTTTTATCATTCTTCTTATTCGTCTTCAATAATTCAGTAGCAATCAACTTATCAGTACTGACCTCACTCGGAGGTATAGGACTTCTAAGCCTCGGCTGCAATTCAACTTTCTCTCGATTCTGTGGTAACCTCAACTTGGTTCTTTCTACACTGGGACTTCGTGGGCCGTTCATAGATCCAGCACTAATGTCACTAGAACCAGCACTCATAGGTCGTGAGTTTCTGTCATAAACTGTACCATAACCACTATCAGCCAAGTCATTCTCATCTTGCAAACGCTGTGGTTGTTGCTGTAATTGATAAGGACTTTCATTCCTCTGCTGTGGGCTAGGTTGCGACTGTTGGAAAGGATTCGGCAAAGGTCTTTCAGAATTAATCGGAATAGCAGCCTTGGGATGAATAAGTTGAACATTCTGATTGGTCTCCTGTGCTCTAGGAGGAGTTCCAGTTTCGTTGAAAAACTTGGATCTGATTGCCAAACGCTCCTGTTGAAGTTGTTGCAGAGGATTAACAGAAGTCGTCGAATTCTCACTCTCTATCGTATTAGTTGACGAACTATCATACTTAGGAACATTGATATAATTCTTCGAGTCGTTTTTATTATCCATACACACATAATCTTCACTAGGGTTATAAACACCATGATCTGGTGGAAGTTTCCTCATCAACTGTTGTTGATTCTGATGTGCTTCAAAACTATTCCTAGCCTGTTGGAAATTCTGAATATGCATCGCTGCATATCGATGCTCCAAATCCATCCTCTGATCCGGATGCATTGCATCATGAAAACTCTGTTGATGATTAGCTGGTAAAGATTTGGGATCTCTTCTAGGTGTATCAATGGTATGCCTTTGAGTGGAATGTCTATTAAAATTCTCATTCTGCGCATTATCAGCAAACACAGCATTTTCAGTCTTTTTCGTTTTCTTCGTGTCTTCTTTATCCTTCGGTTTCTTGTCTTTATCCTTACTGAAGATAGTCATCAACTTGGAGCGGAAACTCGGACTGCGTTTCTTTTTCGGTTCCATTGTGAAAACGTCAAGAGCCCTTTTAATGTTCTCCACTGATCCAACTTCGAAATCGTCGTATCGAGTTACAAGATGCCTGTCCTCGGGTGCAGCGAAATCAATCTGATCCAAATTAATTGGCGTCGGCGGTTCGTTGATTATCACAGTTTCCACTTGGGAGACTTTCTCCGGTTCAATGACTGTTGTCTCGACTATCACCTGTGTGATTGGTAACGACACCCTAGGTTTAGGCACTGGCGGTGAATCATTCTTAGACTCAAACGAAAATGATACTCGTTTTTCTTTCTTTTCTTCTTTGACTGTATCCACTTCAATGGAAACAGACTTCTTTAAAGGTTCCTTGGGTTTCTCTTCAACCTGTTTATTTTCTGGCACTGGAACTGCAACTGGTACTTTACTCAGTCGCTTTTTAGGTATGGGAATTGACTTATCCTCCTCAACTTCTGATTTCACTTCAACTTTGAAGTCTGCTTTATTCACAAGTGAAATTTTAGGTTTTGGTCCTTGTTTCTCTTCGGGTTCTACTTGTACTTCTTCAAAACGGCTTCTCAAACTCTCCACATTACCAGTCAGACTTTTCGATCGATGTAACTTATGATACTGCGCACGGAATTTGTTGTTTAGAGAATTTCTCTTTTCTGCAGCTGGTGATAGCGAATCATCGGCCGTCTCCGAGTTGGAGTCTTCCGTAGGCGCCATTTTGACAAGTCAAAGGACGTGCTGACGTGTGGGAAGCCTGCAAATTCATCAAATCCAACATAATCATCATAATAATCATAAATCTACTTCAAAATAATTGGCTCGTTTTATTTTAATCATTTTCAGATTAAATTTAATTCAATCAATGACTTACTCAATAATAAAACTCAAATTATCCTAAGGTTAAACTCCAGAGAACATCCAATACATTTTCACAAAAACGAAAACGTACGATGTTTTCAGTCATACACTCGATATCTGTTCAGTACTAGTGTCTACATCTGACTGAGCTACGTGTGTCACAACCCAAGTTGACTTAGTTTCGTAAAAACAATCCGCTATCAGCGCGCGCGAGCAAATAAAAGCCTTTGAATGTCCGCGAATTAACTTTTACACCTTAAGTAACACATTAACATATTACATCATTTGAAACGCGCTTAGAAAACGCTGAAAAAACAATGCAATCGATTGTGGCCGCTGGTCACCGCCCCGACAATCTCACGACTGATATCACTGCACAACGACACCTATGCGTGCAAATTTACGTTTTTATCACTGAACAAACATGAAACATAATAAAAATACGCAGTGTGGTACTTAACATTTTGTGTTATCTAAATGATATCGCTTTATCTTAACGCTAATCAAATAAATGTATCGCAATAATTCCCAACGCAGTTAAAATCAATACTTTGCTATTCGTAAAATAAAAAATTACGTAAAACGTAAGAATTTAAGTAGATAATACCGAATTAATATTACCTAAACATAAAAAATGATAAAGTGACTTAAGTATACTAAATTAAACTTTACTTTGGATTGTTTCGGTAACCTATTTCTTTATAATTGTAAAAATAAGTTCAGTAAACTTAAAATTTTCAATGTTTGTTTTACGTACTCGTAGACAATTAACAATCAAACTTACATTGTTTGCGTCTTCCCGATTGTGTACACAACTTGCCTTGTCTAATTTTTGTTGAAAACATGCATCGCATGTTTTTCTGCAGGCTGCGTCCCGTCGACTGTTGCATTCACAATTCGGTTTTCGATCTGGCGTCGCGCGCGCCGTCTAATTAATCCATTATACAATGGTCGAGTATGCACGTTCGGTACGTGCGCGCACGTGTTTATTTACAATATACAACACATGCTACCGGTCGGCAGTCGCCCAGCCGCCCATTGGGCGTAAACATTTCCATTTTCATCAATGCTGACTTGATTATTTTCGTTCGGAAAGAAAATCTTATTTAGTCTCACACTCGCTGTGCGCAAGATTGAATTATAAATAAGGTATATACACTTGCATCGTAAAAATATTATACTTGTAGGTTGGTATAAGTATAAACGTGAGATTTAATCCCTACTAATATTATAAATGCGAAAGTCCTGATGTTTGTTACACTTTCACGCAAAAACTACTTAACCGATCATCATGAAAATTTGTACACATATTCTTAGTGGTCCCCGAATGGTTATAGGGTACTTTTTATTTAATAAAAAAATTATTTTTTAAATAAAATAAAGAAATTGTTTAGACAATAATACCTCTGCATCTGGCTATTTGACTACTTTAACGCCATCTAGCATTCCAGCAATGAAGTTCAAACCTAAGTACTATAGTACCATCACACTGTATTATCACACTGTATTACCGACAGCTACGTCAACATCAAATCCAATTGACTACACTATGGAGACTGTACACTATACTTCCATAGACTATACTTTCAGCCATTTTAAACTTATCGCCATTCAACTTCATTGTTACTTCTTCTGTGACTACAGACGCGTACGGAAGCAACTTCATTATTTTAGATATTCGCGAGCGAAGCCGCGGGTTAAAGCTAGTTATAAATAAAGACTTTGCATCGTAAAAATATTATACTTGTAGGTTGGTATCAGTAAAACCTGTGATTTAATAAGTAATAACTTTTTAAAGTAATGCATTAATCATTTTTCTGCATTTTGTAAAAGTATCAACGTAATTGAATCGGAAACGGTTTGGATATCTGGATATCGACGACGACAAAAACGTTATTGATGCTTTTTCGTGCGCGCACGATTTCGTAACAAGCGCTTTGCAATAACGACAAATTGATTTATGAAAGCGGGCGATGCGTTTAACCATCAATACACGGCGCGCCGCAAGACCATCGTACCCCATACTCACAAATCTCATAAATGCTCGCGCAAACAGCGCTGGATTTATTCATAGTTTCATTGGGTTATTGTCGGCCCCCGTCGAGTCGATAAACAAGGCGCACACAACGGTAACAGCCGCATGAACGGCAAGAAGTTGAAGCCGAAGAGATGAGAGGATCGAATATCCTCGAGCAACAATCGAAACTTGGTATTCCGATTGCTATTGAACATTGAATCGGAGGATCGGCGAATAAATAAAGCGTCCGAAGGTGGAGAGGAATGGAATACGAGTACACCGAGCGCGCATTGTTCTAGTGTTATCGGGAGATTTCACGATGTTGCAAGGATGCAACAAGCTGGCATAACATCAATCGCTGACTGTCTAGGAAATGGCTAACCATTCACAATCACGTGCGTTGTACAAGGCGCAATTTATATCAACGAAAAACCACAAATCAATAGGTACAACGTGTAATTTCCTCTGTGTAACGACGAAAAATATTTTCATTTCAAGCAATTATGAGGTAGAATATTTTTTAAAGGCATGACATCGATGGAAACATTTGAAATATTGTTGTAATTATGATCCCAACATCCCGGAAAATTGCAATGCAAATTTTATAACTTAAGCACGACTTTTCAGCTAATTTGTTGGGGTGCACGTTGCGTCACAACAAAACACAAGTGAATACAACTGAGCGACGCGGAATTCATATTTAGACTTCAGGAAATATTTACCGGCATTTTTCCAAGAATAATTGAGTTTATAACCAGCTTACAAAGATTAAACAAATGTATATCCGCGTAAAATCCCAATATTTCTTATTTTTTAAATAAAAATTCAAAAATTCTTTTTAAAATGCCTTAAAACTAATTTTTCGCATTTTTTTTGTCAAACCTGAGCACTTTATTCGAGAAATAAATTAGTATTCCTCACAGGCAACCACTGCAACAGAGAATAATGTGCAAATATACACAATAATGAAAACTCGAAAAGGTAGTTCCACGCGCACGGTGCCCGCTTATATTTGCGTGTGTATTACGTAAGCGCTAGATTATAGTGGGTGCTTTGTTGAATGTCGCCAATAAAATGCGCCGCGTGTGCTCGATAGTAAATATAACCGACCACCTGCACATGTGTGAGTGTGTGTGTCGTGTGACAAATTCGGCTTTGGATTTTACGCGCCGCTATATATCTTTGCCGAGTGACTTATTCGACGAATATCTTGTATGCGGGAGGCAATACATCATCATTACCCCGAGATTTAATCAGTTTAACCGCTTCCATAATACATACATCGACATTAAATGTTACAATATGTAAAAGTATAAATTATTCGCCAGCTGATGCAGAATTTAACACGTTTTAAATGAAAATTTCGTTTAAAATAAAATTTTATCGAGTGTTACAGATTTAAATACTTTCCAAAGCGTAATCTCTGCTTTTATAGTCTTGGATAGAAGTTTTGTGATTCCACACCCGATTATTACATCGTGAGCACTCCGATTAACATTAATTCCAAGCCATTCTACGCGTAGATATGCCTAAAGTGCATCTACTGCACCACACACATTAATATGTAATGCTCGTAAGCAGTGATGAGTTTCAAAATGAGTTCGTGGCTTGGTTAGATGGTAGAAACTTGTTGAAATCAGATATTCAGCCAACCAACTGTGAACCAGCTGTAGGATAAGCCGGATTTTGGTGATGACCACTTGCCACCTTGTGGCTCGTGTCTGTTTCGAACAAAATTAACTCAAACCATCACTAGTATAGATATTGTGTGTTCGAAAATGCCGAGCGTTACATTAGGAATTACCTACGGACCCCAACCCTTTCATTATACGCCTGAGATACGAGTGCATCAGAATGCAGCTTGAATTCCGGCCGGGGCAGATGTTTTCTGCTTGCCTGATTGATAAATGTAAGCATAACTGTTATTTGTTAAAAATGCATTTAGAGGGTTCAGAACCATATATAGATGTATTTTGGGTTGCCTACAATAAACTGTTTTTCGTTGAATTAAATTAAAATTAAATTAAAACAAACAAAGCACGAAAATAACTCTCCATATTAAAGGGTGTCACGCTTAATCAATCGTGACGAATATTCAAATATCGTCGCTGCGAGCCCGTGCTCGATACTCATTATAGAATTTAATGTGTCATTAACTCGACGTCCACGCCAGTAGGTGCACTCGATGCGTTCAAGTGCGCACATGCGACTTGGACATTTTCATACACAAGTACACGCCATCAAGCGCGCGGCGTGTGTTTGATATTCGCGTTATTAACTTAAGAATATAACTGTACCGGGCTCAAACAAACGATCATCGTGCAAAAGCGCAATGTAATAACCATTTAAGTTGAGAGTCAAGTCAACGTCGGCGCGCGATCGTAAGTCAATTTAATTTTAGTCCCCAGACTAATCAGATGTAATTTTCGTGCGACTCCGACAAAGACACTTGATAGATAATTATAATTATCCGCACAATGCACTATACATCGTATTTCCGTGATACTAATGGCACATGACAAGAAAATTGATCTCCGAGTGAAGTAAAACAAAACAATGAACTTTTACTCGCACAACACAAAGGAAACTAAAACAATACAAATACAAAACACACCGATTGAATATTTATGATGACATTATGTAATATCTTGGTTGCCTAGCAAGAGGTTCAAATGTTAGGTTATGTTTGATGATAATTGACGAGTGAAAATGTGCGCGTGGGTTTAATAATTGTTTGCGAGACGTGAACTTATCTCGCGCGCAAGTTGTGCACCATTAGTTCTTGCACGTCCTGCTTGACGTGTAAGTACACGTCTTGTTGCGTTCATTCCTCATGTTTGCGTCGTGTTCTCTCGCGAAAGAAGAAGAAGAAGGTTTCATTTGCCCTTTTATGCCGATTATCTTTATAAAAGCAACAAGAACTAAACAGGATCGTAGATATTTATCGAAATAAAAACTAAACAGGATGAAATTTTGCGTTTCGTTTCGAGTATTCAACTCTTTTCACCTGGATCCGCTTGTTGAAGAGCTTTATGTGGGCGGTTGTAATGCGAAACTTGAGCATCTCTTGAACTTGATGATTGTGAAATGTTTACGGACACAGAGCTTTTTCACGAATAAGAAAATTATTTCTGTGGTAAACTTAAATTAAATTTCATTAAATTTCTTTCCAAGTAATTGCACCTACACCTATTAAATACAACTTCATTACGTGTCCTTCGTGCACGACTTTTTTTTGCTTCCACGAAGAACTTTCCGAAACGTTCGGTAATGAGGCGAGCGGTTTACGACGTAATTTTCACGATCAATTATCTTACAGTTACCGACTTCTTTTACTCCTGCGTAATGTGATTATAATAAAAATTACACCAACTTCACGTATAAATCAGGAAAGTGATAAAACTCCCGGGCAGCCTCAAGCGGCACCGCGGTTCAATCAACAGAAGTCTCGCCGAGAATGTGGACCTGATGCTTGGAAGATAGTAAAACGCAGGTAAAAAGAGAGTTTTCGAGGTACAAAAGGTCAGCCGAAGAGGATGTGAGTTTTTAAGTTGAAATTCGCGATGAAAATGAAGAAATAAAACCGAATTTTTAAATTTAAACAAAAACAAGAGTTTTTGTCACGAGATTGATTAAGAAGCTTCAACCCGTGACTAAAACTCGTGACTAAAGTAATTTAATCACTTTTTCTGTCTCAAAACTTCTTTTAAAGTTAAAAATAAAAAAATCTAATGGAACACTCAAAGAATAATGTAAATCAGTAAAACAAGTTTGAATATTCCATGAAGACGTCCCCGAAGCCTTCGAAAATATTGATATAGGTGCGTCACATGTCGAGGAATGTCCCTTATTTTCCATTACGTGTTCACCGCTTTGGAATCTCGGTAAGCTAAGTTTACATTACATGCATCATGCATGCGCTGCTCCTCGAAGGCGTTGAAGGCGCTATCGGAAGAGACAAGCAAACACCGCGGGGTCTTCGCAATCACACCAACAAACGCCTCAACGAGCGAGAAAGAATGCGACCGTGCAGGGAAGTTAAAGTTTCATATTTATTTCATATTTTCAACTCGGACGGCTACCGTGCCTGCCATCGCTTTGAATATTTACAGCGCGGGTATGTAAATGTCGCGCCATGACAAAGAGATACTCGAAGCGGGCACTTTAAATGCAGAGGCGACTTTTTATGTGTCGTTTAAGTGCGATACCTGTCTGCACTTGGCAATCACGAGATGTTACATGTATAAATAACAAAAAAAAGTTTTTTAAGTTAAAAAAAATTAACGGAAACAGCTGAATATTTTTTTAAGTTTTTTTAGTTTTTAGAAACGAATTTATGTCGTTGTTTTCATCATCACATCATAATTTCCTTCAACTATTGCTTCCAAATTAGTATGCGTAGTGAATATCATGTTGCGTCGGGTTTCTCACTTCATTTGAGCCTATCTAGAGGTTTCTGCTTCTGGTCGCATGCATAACTTGTCATCTGCTTCAATTTAAAGCTTCCAGCTCAAGCTGGATGTGATCATATGATCCCTCACATCTTTGCTTACAATGTTTTAACACATTTTACATTTTACATTCTACATCTGTGACGCATGGCGACTTTTATCCTCGAACATGTGGCGCACAAGATGTGACTAATATCAAAGTGTGCCGGATAAACACGAATAAAACGGAAGACGATGTTTTTTGTTTTGTTGCGCTTACACGACCGGCTTCAATTAGCATTTACCAAGATGAACGAACCCTGCATCCCGGCTTCACCTATATTATTACAGAGCGTATTTGCATTTAATAAATTAACTTCGCTGCGTGCATCGGACAGAAGCAAACTTCTGGACTATACAATTTACTAAACTAGTAAACGTCTAGTAAAGTTTATATGCTTATCAGGATGATAGTTAATTAAGCATAAACATAAAATTTAGTTAAGCATCGATGAATATTTTAATCCCTACTAATATTATAAATGCGAAAGTCCTGATGTTTGTTACACTTTCACGCAAAAACTACTTAACCGATCATCATGAAAATTTGTACACATATTCTTAGTGGTCCCCGAATGGTTATAGGCTACTTTTTATTTAATAAAAAAAATTGTTTTTTAAATAAAATAAAGAAATTGTTTAGCCAATAATACCTCTGCATCTGGCTATTTGACTACTTTAACGCCATCTAGCATTCCAGCAATGAAGCTCAAACCTAAGTACTATAGTACCATCACACTGTATTATCACACTGTATTACCGACAGCTACGTCAACATCAAATCCAATTGACTACACTATGGAGACTGTACACTATACTTCCATAGACTATACTTTCAGCCATTTTAAACTTCCCGCCATTCTACTTCATTGTTACTTCTTCTGTGACTACAGACGCGTACGGAAGCAACTTCATTATTTTAGATATTCGCGAGCGAAGCCAAGGGTTAAAGCTAGTGTATTAATATTTTAATAATGTGTGCAAACACAATATGACCGAGAATTTGTACGTGTAATAAAACGGTAACTGGCCGTGATCTTGCCCTGGCGATACTTAAAATTCCAACCTGCCAGGTGCAAAGAAGCTGTAAATGATTTACAAACCAAAGAAGTCAAATCACATTCTCGCTTTCCTACGTACACTGCGTCATTATGTACTTCTTTCATCTCTCAGCGACCCTCCGGTGTGTGGTCAACGCGGATTGTCAACAATAGAATTTCGTGAAGAAAAATATTCGCAAAAGATATTTACGAGCAGGTAGTGGAAAGACTGGAAGATTTTCGGGTGGAATTCAAAAGAAACCGGACTGGTTTGCAGCCAAAACGAAGACGTCGACGATGCGAGCATCAAGCAAACCAAACTTGTGAACCACTTGTTCTTCGCTACGACAATTTAATGCCCAGTTTACTTAATCGTAAGGTAACAGACCATTGTACTCGAAATTCACTGGGTGAACAAAAAAAGAAGAACAGAAATTTAAATGTGTTCTACGTGATCCTGAAGAGCAACATGAACAAAAGATGCAAACATACGAATACTCCATACAAAAACATCCGAAACAAGAACTCGAACACGAAACTTGTTACAAAAACTACAAGGATACAGGAGTATTTGTACTCCGTTGAGCTATAATAAAAATACCAATTTGTTGCTCGTAATTGTTTCGCGTTTCAACCGCGTGCAAATGTAATTAAATAAATTTTTAGAACCAAACGAGATTTCGTGATCGTTATTTTCTACACATTTTTCATTAAAGACGATTATTGTGCGCCATTGTTATCGAGAACAAAAGCCGAATATGTCGCATGAAATGACTATTAAAGAAATACACAATCCTAGCGCGAAGTGGGATTGTTACAATAAATTTTACATCAAACGCGGAACAGCGTTGACCTTGGAATGTCACGGCTCAGTTATGGAATCGAATTTTTTCACCGCACCGCGCGATAATTCATCGTTAAAGTTTATTACTGGCAGTGATATTACAACATTTACGAGCGTAGGTATTACGCCATTGTGCAAAGTTGACTAAACGTGCTAAAAATGTGAACTTACGCAAGTTTTACTAATTTTTTCATCGCGTGATTGGTAAACAAAAGATTTAACAAGCTGTGATTAGCGTGAAGAAGATGAAGATTCGACTAACGGTTGGTTTGGCATGGCATGGCGTGATCTTGGGTTGAAATTGCCGAAGCCGGCAGGAAGTTGTAATTGCAGCTAATTAACCAAAGCGAAGCCTGAAAGTGGCCCAAGTTCAAACGATTCACAATGAAAACCATGTGTGACGTTATAACTTCTTCTGAAAACTTAGTCATTTGCGTCTTGATTACACAGTATTTTGTTTATGTTCTTCGAAATTCGATGACTAATATGCTAACATAAACAAAATTGAATTTCTCAATAAGTTACTTAAAATAAATTAATTTTAAGCAGTTAAACCTCAGAAAATCCTCGTTGTGGTCAACAAAGATCATTAAACTTTACCAATAATAAACTCCTACTTCTGGGAAGCAAAAATTCATTTTTTTCATAAAACGAGCCAATTATTATGTTTAAAAATAAAATTTATACTTACCATGATTGTATTTATTATAATCCACAAATGTTCGATCCACTACACCACAAAACACTTTGTAAACGCACACAAATATTAATATTAAAGACTTTTAACTTGTCCCCATTGTTGACATTTTCGCACCGCCCGCAGAATTCCAATGTTTCTGTCCTGACTTAACAGTTAAGTTAAGTCGCGATGTCGGCCGGTGGTTGAGCAACGTGCGCATCGGCACAATAGTAAAAATCGCGACCTTCGGCACCCGATCCGCGCCGGCACGACACACCGCACCGCGTGCTCTTACACAACTATCGCATTCGAGCTCGCGGCGCGTGCTTTCCTAGACGAGAGAGTCCGGTGATATTCAAATCCTACCATCCTACTACCATCGGGGCCGGGAGGTGCCGCAAATGCGATGCGACTGCGAGTGCTATCACCACCGGAACATAGTGCACGTTATTCACGCTGTTGAATATGTGTGTGGATGTATTTTAGTTGAGGTAACATTTCGTGTTCTCTTGAATGTTCCCCTCCGTTGTTGCATTCGTCGTGAGCGATGAGGGAGATTCGTGCTGAATTTCTCACTTGCGATTGTTCCATTCCACGATTTGTTGTCTTGTATATCTTCACTTGTATGTTTAAATTTTTATTTCATGTACACATGATTTATGGTGAATGCGTTGTGTGTGTTGATTGTGTGACCGGCTACTGCAACGCACAACCGACGCCCGGGTTCATTCAACAATGAAAAGAGCGCAGAAAAGACTTAAGTTAAGCGGGTTTGGCTGGCTGGCTGCCGCGCGCAGCCCTCGCGCTCCTTTCCTTCCTCCCAAGCGCATCTGCGATACAGCAAACAACATACGGCGCTTCTGTGTTTCGCATCGTTTGTAGCAGCATCTATCTCTACCCGACGCCCGCGCCATTACATCCGCTAACCGCATCCCCACGCTCCGCAAAGAATCGCATGCATTTACATGTGTGCATTTACAACTCACCCACAATCGACGAGAATACATCTCGCGCCGGCACCGCCCACGCACAGGATTGGATTTTCGTGACAAATCATTGCAATTAAACTTGTTTTCTTAAAAACTCGGAACTTTTCAAAATGCACGCATCCACACACTCAACTTTTTTACAATGATGCTCTGTAGGTTATGTACAAGTAACGGTTTTTACGTGTATTGTTGGTTGCCTATGTACACACCTAAACAATATTTTCATCAACAACAATGTTTTGATGCTTTACAAAGCATCAGAAATAAACAAAACAAGATTCTTATTGAAAATCAGTATCATTGCAATATACTTTAGGGCTGATAATACATATTAGCCGAATATTCCCCAGCGCCCGCATAACCAAACATTGCGGGTCGACTGATTGAATTCAATTTATGGTAATTGTCCGATGGCGCAGTGTAAATGCCTGCTTTATCTGCTTAAGTAAATTCAATTAAGCTCAGCACAATGTTATAAATAATTGAATTAGTGCCAGAGTAATAATTAACGCAATATTGTAATAGGCAACCATTTAAACGCACAAAACAAACAAATTCGCAATTCTCAAGCACAATCATGATTTATTCTAGTTTCGTAGCAAATATAATACTATATTCGGGTGCAAGTATAAAAATAAGTACTTATCCTAGAGAATATATAAATTGCAAATCTGATATTCGCAGTAAATAAATTAAATTAGCTTTGGAATACTCGTAGATTACTAGCGTATAAATATGTTTAAATATTGATGAGAATCTTTCCTTGATATTGCAGCGACTCACCTGGGACGAATTATTTAATCAATTACCATCGTAGCGTTGCTTCTTGTCGTTGTCTCTGCGGACTGGAAGAATTAATAACCGTAACGTTTTGCGGATTAACCAGCGGTTGCAAACGTTCTGTAAAACGCTTATAATTCCTATCCAGTTCTCTTTGGTATTCTTTTTGATCTGCGCCGATGAGATTGCGATTCTTTTTCAGTGCATCGTGACATCTGCACAGAATTAATATTCAATACATTAATAACTAAACAAGATGAAAAAATAAATGCTTACTTCTTTGAGAAGTCTTTAAAACACAGCCGTAATTTATTCTGATGCTTTGTTAGCGGTTTGCCATCGGAAGGCAGGAAGGTAAGCGCCATTTCAAGCGGGCCTTGATTAACCGTCGTACCAATGCATCCCTGTAGAACCATTTGCAGGATTTTCGGATCCGGGGGTTCCTGTGTGGTGGCCGTAGCCAATTCGGTTGTTTTCTTTTGTATGTCTTCGATCGCCACCTCGATCGGTGTGAGTGTGATTTGTGCGCGGTGCACAACTTGTATGCGTGTCTTCACGTACGGGAAATGCACGGCTGTAGTGAGAATGGTTTTCCTCTTATACTGCTCGTGTAATTCACCGTGCGCACGACCACTCGGCGTGAATGGCGTTGAATACACAAAACGCTCTGAAATGAATCATTTAAAACCGAAAAATCGCAGACGGTTTTGATGTGAAACTTACTAATGTTAAAGTTCTTATCGAAATGCGTCTGGCGATATCGCAGTTCGTACGTCTCGAAGTACGGCTCGACGTAGGTGATCTGAATGTATGCCTTATCAGGATCTAATTTCGACTCGTCGACTGTATTCGAATCTTTAATGATCACGACGTTGTCAGATCCGAAGCGCTCCGCGTAAAAGTTCTGCACGCATACAAAGTTAATATCTCATTAAACTTGCCTCCAACAATAACTCATCATTCATCTATGACGCGAATATTTGACTTACCTCTAAACGACTGAATATCTCCGGCAGTTTCGTCAACGTTGGCTCTTTATACACGAATTCCTCCTTGTCTAAGTCACCAAACTTCGATCCGTAAAATCCTACGCGAAAATACGTGCCAAACACACGTTTTCCATGCAATTGCTCGATTCTAGTGTACGCATCGTGTAACTTTCCGTGAATATTCGACAACTTTTAAAATCGCGACTGTTTTCGGCGATGGGAATCAAAACCTTGTAAATATCATTCATGGGTTCATACATGGCCGCAGCAAATAGAGAATTTGCAGCGTGTTCCAATAAACCAAGGAAACCACCTTCGGAAAATCCAAGACAACCGCCTTCTCTGTCAGGACTTAAAACATCATCGGAAACAGCGCTTTCTTCGAGTACATTCGGCGAGACTTTTTCCAACGCTGCTGCACCCGGTGGTAAATGCGGCAGTGGCTCTAACATTGCAAGATATTCAGCGACTAATGCAGCAGAGTGCACGAGACACATTCCTGCCTCGCAGTGATTACCACGCTCCATGTGTTTCTGCGCCATGTTGGCAAGCCATGTAAGGCGCAGATCCGGCGAGTTTTGATAACCTTTCGCAATGCGATACATCAAATCAAGCAGCATTTCCGGATCCTCTTGGAACTCTTTCATTTTCACCGTATCAGAGAGAATCATGTGCAGATTAAAGACTAAATCGCGTACTTGTTCAGGGAAACTAGTTTCTTGAAACTCTGCATCACGCTCGCCATATTCCAGAATGGTTTTCAATGAACGCCGGAGAGAATCATCACTGAATGAAGCTGATGTACCGACAAGTGAACTCAGGGACATCGTGACTTGCATTTTAATACGCGCAAAGTTCTATTAGGAAAATTATGATGTATTCTATAGCTTTAAAATAAGGTTATGTACTTGTACTTACATTACCAATCTGGAATGTTTGCCTCATGAGTAAATACAATGAAGCTGCTGCCTGTGAACGCACTGAAGCAATGTGTGACCCACAATGTTTCAGTAACAACAAACACAAGTCTGCGCAGTGATCACTCTCCTCATCAAACAAAGCACTGTGAAACTAATATTTTTACCGATTATTTAGAGCACTATGCAATGTATCTTTATATTAATCATCCTTACCTTGAAAACTAAAGATCTTTGCGATGCAAACATATGTGGTAGGACAGTAGTGCTCTGATTCTTAGCCAATGCATGCAATAACACAGTCAGAGCCAACCCAACCAAATGTTGTTGATTATCCCAGAGTGAAACAGTCGCCACACATCTCTCCAAAGTATCCAGTACAATAAAAGACGCTTCCGTAGCTAAATGTCCCTCTAAATGCACATCAATAGACATATCCTCGCGCGGTCGATCTACATTTTCCGATGGACGATATGTCATCTGTTCCTTACGCCAACGTACTTTTTCCGAAGTGGTTGATGATGCAGATGAAGTATTTTGCGCTTTGCGCCTTTGCATCATTTCCCGAGCGGATCCCTGACCGAGAATCATGTCCTCCAGACGACTTTTTACATCTTGCGGGACTTGTGCATGCGCATATCCCGAGGGTTGATGACTTCGTCGACGCGGTTTGTATTCAAAGCAAGATGTGCACGCGTCCAAAAGATGGAAAAGTGTAGCCATGCGATTTGTGGACAACTCACCCATCCAATGACTGAGGGATTCAGTCTCCACGTTTTTGAGCACCCACAACACACAGAGTAGAAGTTGGCGGGTGACGTCTGATGACACAGCAGTTTTTCGATGTTGTAACTGTGTAATATAATAAAATTTTTGCTTTTAAAGTGATTATATGTGAGTTTTAGTAATTACCGTTTGAAATCCATCACAATTTGTTGGCGCACCAGCGATAGCCAACGCCACAGCTTGATTAATGTTGGTGCTTGGCGTGTCTTCCACGAAACGATCGTTCCGGTCGTGGTTGAATTGATGGAGGATCGGGAGCACATCCATCGCCACCGATAACAGCGGCAGATAAAGCGCCGCAACACGCCGACGTGCTTCCGGCGAAATGTAGCGCGGATCGTTATCGTGCCAGGATAACAGTGATCGAATCGTGTCGACTGCCTTTGCGTGAAGATTCGGATTACTGCAAGCGCATAAAATAGGTTAAGTATAAATTGCATGCAGACAACAGGCAACCCAGTATACACTCACTGCATTTCCAATAAAACAGTTGCAAGATCAGTTAGGACCAAGCCAGTTAAATAATGATGCTGGCGATATTCCGATGATAATTCCGCAAAGGTGCTGACTCTCTCCTGACTCGCCGGAGGTCCCGACAGGAAGGAATTCTGACTTGTTGATGAAGTTACACTCGGACTGGGCGAGACACTCGCTCCGGACGTCATGAATGGCGTCGCAAAAGGCAAATTCAAAGGCACATAATGCTCATGACTACACATTATCCTCACACATTCAACTTTCAGACTGAACAACATCGCAGGATCTTGCATCGATGAGATTTTCGCCTGGACTTGTTTCGTGTAAGTCCGCAATAATTGCATTACAAACCCCCGATCGACAATCGACACCAAATCAAAGAAAAAGAAGGCTAATCCTGCGTTTAACTTATGCGCACGTCGAATATCTCCATCATTCGCATGCGAAATTATATCAGACGTCACACAATTCACCAAATGAACGATATCATCCATGAATTGTTGTGAGAAACGCAAACGTCGCGGTGCATCAAGACTACCGGTATGTGCCAAGTGTTCAATCATACTTTTGATGATCAAATCAAAGAGGAACCAAGCATTCTGCATGCTTTGATCACGTGATCTTCCGTTGCAAATCCCCCATTGAACTGCAAGTTCCTCATAGAGGATGCGTTGGCAGTTATTATAAATCGGAGTTGGTTCGCCCGCCATATTGGAACGCATGCTCGCAACGCGATCAATACCACGCGGAGAGAGTTGTTGTGATATCTCTAAATCAGGGTTTGAACTGCTGCGAGTTAATGATGTTTCATAAGTTGGAGAATTTTGTGCGCTGTTGCACATTGCGTGGGGAATTCGACATTGGTATTGGATGTAAGTTGAAAGAAGACCAATTCTTCCGTGGTGATCCATTTGTAAGTCTTGCAACGTCTAAACAATAAAAATTATAAAAAAAAATTAAAAAACTGATATTTTTTTACCTGAATTCTTTCTAGGAGTAAACATAAAGCTTCAAAAGCAATATGTGCGATATTCAACGTCTTCTCGGCTAGGCGCGGTGGCTGTACAAGTAATTGAATGATACTGTCAAAAATCAACGGGAGATTTTGAACGATTAACTCGGGTTTCGCACCAGCTAGGCCACTCATCGAAGACCGGAGTTCTTGCGCCAATCCAGCTTCACCTAATCTCGATGGAATGATACCAGTATGCACACAATCGTAAGCAGCAAGAAATCGCTCAACTGCTTGATCATGCGTGTGTACTGATGAGACAGTATCCAAGCACACAGTGAACAATCCTTTGTGATTGTCCAACCATTTTGTTCCTGGTAGACATACATCAGCAGGAATGTAGCTGTAGTTCAAGGGAGGTGGTTCTAGCATTACAGGAAGACAGAATTCTCCAGAGACTAATCTGCCTTCTCTTAAAAGTGGCAACCACTGTAAAATTAACAATAAAATATGAATTTTTATAAAAAAATTAATAAAAATTTAAATAAATCGTTTCACTTACTGTATAACCAACTGGTGTATCAACCTGCGTCTGTTCCACCTTCTTCTGACACGAAATATGATAAAAAGTAAAGAGAATATGATGATTATCAGCCAGGGCATTCGGCAGCTTCATTTTAATCTCATCATAAAACACTGGAGTCTTACTGTGGTATGTCACAGCTGTGTACACTTCATTCGTGAACTCTGGACAACTACTCTTGCCGAAAATATTATGCAAAGCATGCTGTTCACCTTCTCCAGCCATCAACTGCACCCGGACAGCTAGATTCCTCGCTGATCCACCACGATTCGAGAAATTCAACTCCTTCGGACTTACAAACAGCAAATTCCTATACAAATAATGCGGATTCAATAACTCCTTAACCGGAAACTCTAGTAATTCCTTCACAGGTCGTGCTGTATCATCATGATACGGATGTATCTTTTCTAATTCCGAAGTCAAAGAATGTTTTACCTCGGATGGACAAGGCATTATTTCCAATCGCAGTGTTGCAGGAATGCATTTCATCTTCTTGATGATTAAATTCGGACGTTTTAACTCATGTAGAAATTTATACAGGTCGTCATCTTTTAATTTCTCAAATTCCTGTTTGAAGAATGAAGTGACTGTGAGTGTGATGGGTCTGAAGTTATCCAGACTGTTCGCGAGGTGATCCGGTGACCAAGAGCGGCGTTTTTCACGACGTTCCAGAGATCCACGCCGGGTGAGTGTGCCCATATCTTGGGCACGTCGACGTAATTGTTCTAGACCACCGCTGGCTGTTTTACGATCCAGACTGTTTGTGCTACTGTTGGAACCGGTGCTTTCACGGTCAGGTTCATTCACTCCGCCGTTGATTACGTTCATCAAGTAGATTGCTGTCCAGGCGAATGCCTGACGGTATTTTCCAAGGCGTTCACAGGTTGCTACAGCGCTTGCTTTGATTTTATCACGATTCTGGAAGCAGAAAATTAATAATTTGTTTGGAAAATGTGATATTTTTAAGTCTTACTCTGTCATCTTTTAAGTATGGTTCTATACACTCATTCAAATCCCCTTGAAGAACTTTTTCCAGTCGAATCACAAGAAAAAGATCCGGAGATGGGTTTGTGATGTCAAATATACATCCTCTTGCCAATGTACTGGTGTCATTCAGTGGAATATGATCATCTAGCATTCTCTTTAAATTTTCTTTATTCAAATCAAAGTAGAAAGTCTCCGATACTTTTTTCTTCTCTTTGGCGTCGTATAAAGCAAGGGATGCAAAGAGTGGCTCAACTTCCAGTTCAAGACTAAAATATTTATATTATTTTGTGTTTTTATTCGTAAATTTAAGTTAAACTTACTTTAATTGAAGACATTTGACTAAAATCCGATGTCCAATGTGTTCCATTGGTGGTCCAGCAGTCAATCGTCTTTCTACTGGTTCCTCATCGGGTTGTTGAGGCTGAGGTGAAAGAGACATCAAAGCTTCCTGCCGCTCAACTTGCCTGCGACTTTCGTTGAGTTGATCCAAAGCTTCCGGAGCGGAATGCTCGAGAATTTCAGGAATCAACGGATCGCCAGCTGAATGCCGCAAATCTAAGGAAGCCCAGGAGTTTCTGGGCGTCAATGTTTCACTACATGATGAACTAATTGATATTACACTCTGACGACTGCTTCCAGGCGCTGAGGTCAAGTCTTAATAAAATATTTCGTTAATAATTTGCATGTAAATTAAGTTTATATATTAATTACCAAATTCTGAACTAACTTCAGATAAAGTAGGCTGAAAATCAACCTCAAACTCTTGTTTTGGGCTTGAATGCAAAGCTTTTGGTAGATTGTGTCTTGATCCATAGCTGCTGCTCAAATTTCTCTGCTGATATTTCACAACTTGCCAATCAGAAGTATAACAGGAAACACATGCTTGTACATGTGGTGGTAAACTCTCACTATAAATAACAATTACTCATTAAAATATAAAATAATCAAAGAAAACAACTAAAAACCTTTTTTCTTCTGGTATTATAGGTCTGATTGTCCTGATGGGTCTCTCGATAATCTCAACACTAACATCCCCTGGTGGAATATCAAGTATTCCTCTTAATGGATCTCTATCAATCAGCAGTTGATATTGTGATAGAAAGTCTTCAAACTCAATAGGTTCGATTACATCAGAAGCCCAGCTCTAAAATATTATACCCATACATTTATTTCTAAAAATAACAAATGAATGCAGACATACCGCTGAAGAAGACGGGGACAATCGACTGCATTTCGAGGCATGACAAGAGACATTTCGACGCACTTCTGCTGGATGAGCCCTGGAAACATGAAACCACGTTAATATTTTATGTGTTTGATGTATTTTTATGTTATTTACTTGGATAATTTCTGCGTGAACGCCCTTTGCGTGGACGCCATTTTCAAACAAACGAAGCGAATGCGAAACCAGTCATACACATGGAATGCTGTCAATGAAATGTCACAATATTTTTATAAAAACATAGATAATTATGAATAAAATGATATATAATGTATATACTAATAGTAGTTATTAATTTCTTTGAGGAATTTTTCATTGTAAAAAGTTTTAAAAACAAAAAACTTGCTTAACTTTGAATTGATGTTTGACAGATGTTTGTCAATACCACCTAACCATACAATATTAACTTTATTATCAATAATCACTGCTTATCATTTAATTCCTTTGTTATATACATTAGATATTTAGTAACACTACTCCGAAAGTCATAATACTGTAATATTTATGAGATATTTAGTACAAATGGTCATTTTGAGTGTTTAAACCAGTATTTATTCACTTGTCTAGCCGCAAAGATTTGAAGTCAACTTTATTGACTGCTAATAAGTTTTGTCAGCAATTCTAATTGAATTAGAACATCCACGATGGAATCCCGAGGTGATCGTGAGTCAGAACTCCAGCAGTTAGTATCTTCAGATGGTGATAATGAAGATAGCATTGTTCAGGATGACACAGACAACACAGTGACTGAAATTAAAGTCATTTCACCAGTTAGAAGCAATAAGGTAGTTAATAAAACCATTTAAAGCATAAAAATAGATAAATTAACGTTTCTGGTAGATTTCCTCATCAGGCAATACAAGTCACAGCTCTGCATCCAAACAGCATAGAAATCATCTGAATAAAAAGAGCACAAACACAACAAATTCAAGTATTCTCTTTGTGAATGAAAAGCAGAGAGCTGCTAAGGAGCCAACAAAAACCACAGCTACAGTTAGACCAAGAAATATTCACAAAGGTATGAATTATACAACAAAACAATCACAATAGTTATGATTTGCTTCATAATTCATTTATTTTATTGTTTATTATGAGTGTATTCAGTTTATTTACTTTATGTTTTGCATGAAATTTAAAGTAGTAGATCCACCACACAAACCAGTGCATCATCACTCATTTTTATCCGAAGTTCCCGATGTGCGTCACATGGAACGCGCCCTGCTTGGACTCCTCGACGACTTCCATTCAGGGAAACTGCGTGCGTTTGCCAGTGGCTGTACCATGGAGCAAATGACAAATATTCGCGAGCAGCAAGAGAAACTCGCCAAGCTACACTTTGATTTGGGTACAACCAGCGCGCCGTCACTCGCCGAGGATAATCTCCGGCAGTCTTATAATACTATGAGTCATTTAATTCAAAGATTGGAGCAGTTGAGTGTCTCGATTGAAGGATTGCAGAATAGTGACAAGTAATCTATTAATTTATATAAAAAGTTATGAAAATATGAAAAGATTATGAGTGGATTTAATATGAAACGTTAGCGAGATTTGCCTGGACGTGATTCTTCCTTCTTGCCTGAAAATTCAATGCAAATTTAATTTATTATCTAAGAATATTAATAAAACAATATAAAATTATGTTATTGGCTATTATAACATATTATTATAACATGTTATTACCTCCTCCATATCTTGTCTCAGCAGCACTCTTCGCACTCACAAATGTTCTCTGTAATTTTCCCTTCTTTGCTTCTCTGTAGTCCTTAGCAACATCTTTGGAAAGTTCAGCAATTCTTACCATTAATGGACCTGGATAACTATTCAGAGTGTTAATAAATGATTGTTTATTAAATAATTGATAATTTGTTTACCTGCAGCCCATAAATTCAATGTTGGTGAATGTTCTAGCCAATGCTACAAGATATTCTTCGGAAAAAGTGCCTTTGTGAGTGATCATAAATTGTTTTCTTAGTTCCCAATGTTGATCTGGTTCTGTATCGTCGTAGTACTTATCCACATCCCAATCAGTTGGATATTTTTGTGTCATCTTTATTGTATTTTAAGATTTAATATTAATGAATCTGTTATATATGAAAACAGATGCCGCAACGCGTGATGGAAAATTTAATCAGATTACATTTAGGTTATGATACCACAAAGCATGATTCCTAATCTTTAAGGAAGAAAATTATGTTTTTGCAATTATTTGTTCATATTACAATTGCAATTTGCAAATTCATGGATTTTTCAAGTACATTATGAATTTTCTTGGAGTCATACACCTAGTCTGCCTAAATAAACATTTATTCTTATTCTTTTTTCATATATCAATAATGACAAATATTTCATAATCCTGATGTTCAATATCATTCACAATTTCCATTGCAGAATAAGTGATTGCTTTCACCTCAGTGCCTTGGGGATGCTTTCCAAGGTGGAATTCTTCCCCATAACACAAACAAGTAATTGAAAAGTCTTCACCTTCTGTAATGAATTGTGTTATCTCTAACTTAGAACAAATTAAATTAGGTTCACAACTAAATAAGTACAATAACTCATCAAGAAATCCATACAGTAAACTTTCTAAATCATGCCCTGTGGCTTTTATCTCTACTCTTTGTTTTATTTCCACAGTTTCCAACTCAGTCATGTATCCAAACATTGAAATGCCACATTGTTCAAATGCTTCCTTAAGACTATCTCCCCAAGAATGTAATCTGTATGTAATAAAAAATGTATTAATATATGATTTACTTTATTAAAATAAAGTTGAATATACTTACTGAACATCTGCAGTGTGATCTAGATCTAAAATAAAACAATTAGCATGTTTATGTACTTTTTTTACTTTGTTTGTAAGCAACTTACATTCGTATTTTTGGATGGGTAGCTCAATGCTAGAAAAATCAATGTCATCATCGTCTGGCATTATAAGTAGTTATTTATAATAATACTTGATTGGAATAACATAAATTAAATTTTAGAGCACATGTTTAGCGCTATTAATCGAAACATCTTCGAGTATTTAGGTTAAAATGAGGGAAGGTCCACAGGTGAAGTAGGTACCCATGCAATCATCTTTAAACCCATGCAATACAAACAATACAAGCTGATGACAAGCTGTTAATATCTTAAAATAACAATTGCACAAAATTGCACCACATTAGTGTAGCAAATATGCATTTTATCGCTTTTTTGAGCCAAAGCTAAGACTGCTTATCTTACTTTGCCATAATCAGCTTGCAATTGTTGTAATTATGCTTAAAGTCTACAGCAACATTGTTTATTAGGAAATACCAGATAATTTCAGTGATTTCCACTTCTGTTATTACAGTATTACATACTTTTGCATGCAGTGTAAGCCTCTATGCAAATTATTGATCAAACTTGCAAGTAAAATGCGTTCACAATACAAAAAATTCAATCATGTTAGTTTGATGTTTTGTTTGTATCCCACAGTGTCACTAAGCAACGAATAAACTCATTCCACCTCAACAAAATTAGACAAATTATTTGCAAAAAGCATTATCTATCATACCTCAAACAAAAACTACCCAAATTTATTCGTTCCACGTGCTTCATCAAAATGGTTGAAGTTTTTGGTAAATTATCTTGCAATATCTTCATTTTAACTGATAAATCAAACAAAGAAACACATATTAAACAATTCTCTACATGTTTCACGTATTTACAGAGGAAACTTACTATGCAAATCATTGTTTGGACGACGATGAGAAACATTTCCACTCCATAATCGGTCACATCGAAGACATATTGATGGACACAGAGTTTCTAGACATGCACGGGGCATTCATGGAGAAACACTGGCATGAATTCGAAGACACAGAAGAGAATAAATTCTCATACACGGATATTTTCAATGAATATATTGAAACGGTAGAAAAATATCTGGAAAACGAGTTGACCAATCGAGTGCAACACTTTAAAATGAGCGAATTCGAGCAGGAGCTGAAGTATTTAAATTAAAACCTATTTCTAGCTTGATATCATAACAAAAATCATGTTTTTGCTTCCAGGACGCGGCAGAATGATCTTGAAGGCGAAATATTTGAAATTCTTGCAACGTTCAGCGACTTCTGCGCCTTCAAAACAATGTTCATTGATTACAAAAACGTATAAACAACGCTATCTAAATTCATTATAATAATATTATATGTTTCAGATGAAAGAAGGCAAAACAATAGACTTTTCATCGGATTTATGCGTATCAAAATACATCACCACTCCTGAAGTGGCTGAATTGTAAAGAAAAGCAACAAATATTAATTAATTCATCAGTATTTCCATTTGGACAAGTCGACTGTTAGTGTCTCCTGGCATTCTGTACGGTAAGAGCCCTGTAAAGTTGGTCAGTACGCGTGCCTGCTCTTTTATAACACCCAATTGCTGAAAAATATTTATAAAATAACAATAAATGTGTAATTATTTCAAAACTTACTTTGTCAATTGAATAATCCTGCAATCTTGTTGGTAAGTGTTCATTATCTTTGATTTTCTGATATTGAGCAAAGTAAATATTCATTGTGGCGAGTAAAACGTCCGGAATTACTTTGCAAACATCAGATGTAAGTGATTTGAAACTTGAGACACGATCATCTACCTCGTAGGCTTGCGTTGGGATGATTTTCAACTCGTTTAAACACTTTAAACAATAAAATAAGCTTCATAATGAAAAAAAAAACGCAGATAATAAAACAATAAAACATTTACCTTTAGAGCAGCAGTGAAATTCTTACTGTGGTACTGATCAAAGAAAATCAACAAATCTTTAAGGTTACAGAAAGCGTTTGCTGATGCAGCAGAACACCTAGATGTATCCATGGAGTATCTTTCATAGATTTCTTTCACTTTCATTGTCATTCTATCCCTTAGAGAACCTTGAGATGATGGTTGGGTTATAACTTGAGCCAAGAGTGACGATAGAAGATTCAAAACCTCAGTTTGGTTCTAATAATAACAAAAAATTAAGAAAACAATCACAAACACAATAAAAAATGACAAAAATCGTAAACTTACATTTGCAATATCATACAAATCAATAGCATCCTCATACATTCCCTTGCGCACCAATTGATCAGCCAACATATGCGCTGTTTTCTCAACAGTGATCTCCGGATGCCTAAACTGATCCAGGATACCTTTAGTTCTAATCCCGTTGCGTTGAACCTTACCGAACACTTTCTCAAACTCTCTGGTCTCCTGCACGAGATCACAGATGCAAACTTGGAACATATTCTTCTTCTCCGAGTCATGAATCTTATGCAGGAGATAGAAATAATTGCATGCTTCGAGAATACAGTGGATTTCAAACCTCTGCACGTAAACCAAAATTAATCGGACGAGATTCAAGCGTCTTGCTGGTTTCGGATCGGCGGGATCCACAATAACTAATATAAAACACATTAATACTTGAAAACATAAACATTTTTAGTGTTAACTTACGCAGAGGTGATGAATAATCTTCTGGGCCAGCTAATAAATAGCAATCATTAAGTGCAATCGCCATGTGAACTGCGTGTACTTTATAACGTTCAATACGAGATAGAAATTCAATGGCCGCTTCGAATTGCCCGGTCAAAGCTAACACCTGAAAATATAAATGTGGTTGTTTGGCTGCATCGTAGTGTGATTCGCCGTATTCTTCAATAATCGTGCGTTGAAACTCGAAATAATCAATGTGGTCTTCCTTTTCGTAATCAACGCGAACCAGAGATAGTTTCAACCATAGCCAATCATCCGCCGTGCGTGCAACTTCGGAATGTTCATCAGAAATGTCACAACAACCCATTACAGCAAATACAATGCGTTTGAATGGATCAGTGTCGTTGCGTATCAATCGACGATAATGGAAACGAACTGCTGCTTCTAATTTGTGCAAATCTGGATGTTTGGGGTTTTTATTCAGTGCTTCGAGGAGTTCCAGTAAATCTGGGAATCTTTGACGTCCGCTAAATTATAAATTAATACATTAGCTAAGAAATTATGATGATTTTTGGAATAAAATTACTTTGCTTTGTTTAAACACTCAATTGCAGCTGGAATATCACCGCTTCTTAAACAATAATACACCATAGGCCACAGAGGGCGCTCATCGATTGTCCCGTCGAGGAAACCAACATATCCTCCTTGGAGCCTAACACCAAGATAACTCCTCACCAGAGTGTAAGTACCGGGAATACCTCCTCGCTGTGCAGCTGCCAGATTTTCAGTGATAACATTACACATGTAGGTCTTGTAACGCGTTTCCAAGTATTTTTTCGCTTGATTTACGAGGTCCATTACTACTAGATTGTGTTTACGAGCTGTGATTGGGTCTTCTCCGTGTGTGGTGAGTGTTACATTCGTCATGAATTTCATTATTTCCCACATATCATTAACTTTCTACATTATTGAATTTAAAAAAATAAAAATTGTTTTTTTAAGAAATATTTGATGATATTTTAATATACTTACAGTGTCTTTAAATTCTTCAGCTGTAGCAGCGAAATACTTAACCAGATTTGGTTTGGTTTCATTTTTAGCTTGTCTTTTATTCATTTCGATGACTTTTCCAGCATAGACTGCCTCCTGTTGAGTCATAAATTGTGAAGCAATCACTGGATTGTCCATTACAATGGAATCAGGAGTTGCAAGATGGATGAAATTGCCAGATGGGCCAACCATGGCGTTCATTATCTTGCGTTTTTCCTGTTTCCATTCAGCCCATTCATGTTCCCATGCTTGTTCAGCAATTTGCTTGTAACACTAAAGTCATAATTCATTTTTAACCAACATTTTATATAAATATTTAAATATTATATTTTCTACACTTACTAATTTATGTTCGCTTTCTATCACACCCAAAATGCAATTTCTGAGTTCATTTTCCAACAGTGAGTCCAAATCAAACTCATCAACTGGTTCAATAGCTTCTAAAGTTCTTTTGCTGCTGATGGCATCTAACTTTTGTGAAATTCTTGGTAAATCTATGCCTTTTGAACCCAAGAGAAGGTTTCTAAGACAAAAAATTAAATATTAATCCTTTAATTCTTTATTTTATATACAAAAATAACTTACGCTTGAATATCTTTTGATCCAGACTGTGCCACTCTTGTGTACAAATCAGAGGAAGCTTCCAAAACTTGTCTTAATGACCTATCTACCTTAGGAAGCTCTGAAGGCCCCTCAATATCATGAGTGAGCTTCTCAGCTTCAAAAAGCAAGTCTGAGAAGTCAGAAGACATTCTAAAACATAAAATAATCTAATTGTCCTCATAAAATCAATAATTATAACATACTTGGCACAAAATAATACACTAAACTTATATTTAAGTAACTTTACACTATAATTACTAACACTCTTTGAGAAAATACGAAAGAAAATGAACGTGAAATACCGCCAGTGCAAAAATAAACTTAGGTTATGGTTTTGTTGTGCTTTAAAACACAAAGTGCGCATGCGAAACTCTAACCGTCACAAACAAGTTACAATAATAACCTGTAGATGTCGCTAGCTGTACTATAGTCGTTAAATATTCAACAGTTGAATACATATCGACTTATTAGTGTTTGGTCCTTTGCATGTGCACCATGCAAAAACTGTAATCATCGATTAATCCTTATTCAAGCGCCCACGCTGATGTTACTGCAACGATTTCCAGCAAGCAGGTGAGTTTCTATATGCGTACCGGCGCTGGTTTGGTCGATCGTGACGGCGTTCGACGTCGTCGTTCGGAAAACCGGCGCGGAAAACAGAATGTCGTGGCGATGTGATCGATGCTTTTCCCGCGGTTGTTTGTTCTCTTGGCGCGTTATTTCGCGGGTGGAAAGCGTGCGGTTTGCGTGCGGCGGCGCCGGTCATGGGGAGATTCAGTAAGAAGCGGCGGCGAAAGGGCAAAGAACTCACCGGATCAGGTATGTTCAATTTATTAAATAAATCTTAACATCAATCCTTATAAAAACAATATTTTTAAATACAAAAGTTATGATTTGATTTGATTGCAATATTCGCAGTCGTGTTGCGAGCTGGAAACAAATCAATATTCAAAAAGTGTGTGGGAAACTCGGTGACGCATTTGTCTATTATTGAAAACGCTAAAAATAAAAATATTTCACATCAAAACAGTTCCAGAAATATTAATATTTAATATTTCATTATATCCCTGCTAAATATTAAGATTTAACAAGAGAAACAAATGAAAACCACTTTTATACAACATTTGATAGGTAAATATAGTTGCAAAGATGAAAACTCTGGGGGCGGCAAAGTAATATTATTTATAGTCGCATTTCACGGCGTTCAGCGGCTCACAGGTCGTAAATTTCGCAAAGTTTCATCAAATTTACGAGCAGTCCGTATGATTCAACAAAATATGAAAGAATAACACACGTTAAACCAACCACAATATGACATTTATTAAATGAATTAAATAATAATTTAATATTAAGTGATTTCCAGTGAAAAATACGCGCAAAGTATTGATTTTCTTTGTTTTTTTCATAAAGTAATCATGAATCGATTGATTTTCATTAAATTCTGTGCTTTCCAATTGAAAAATAATCAATTATCGGCGTTGCAAGCAAGCAGGAAGTAAAAGTAAAATGTGGGACACACGGAAAATCGAAAAACGCACCCGCACCCTTTTAATAAATAGTGTGGGTGTCACTTTAGTACATATTATGTATGTATAACACGCACGGTGCTTTGTTTCGACTTTTTCGTCATTTCCCTATCGTTGTTTCAATTTTCCAGTTGCCCAGTCACCCTAAAAACACAAAAACAGGAAATATATGTGTTTCACTCAAGTGCTCACTTCTTGGAAGGATATAAATTACTAGCTTTAACCCTTGGCTTCGCTCGCGAATATCTAAAATAATGAAGTTGCTTCCGTACGCGTCTGTTGTCACAGAAGAAGTAACAATGAAGTAGAATGGCGGGAAGTTTAAAATGGCTGAAAGTATAGTCTATGGAAGTATAGTGTACAGTCTCCATAGTGTAGACAATTGGATTTGATGTTGACGTAGCTGTCGGTAATACAGTGTGGTAATACAGTGTGATGGTACTATAGTACTTAGGTTTGAGCTTCATTGCTGGAATGCTAGATGGCGTTAAAGTAGTCAAATAGCCAGATGCAGAGGTATTATTGGCTAAACAATTTCTTTATTTTATTTAAAAAATAATTTTTTTTATTAAATAAAAAGTAGCCTATAACCATTCGGGGACCACTAAGAATCTGTGTACAAATTTTCATGATGATCGGTTAAGTAGTTTTTGCATGAAAGTGTAACAAACATCAGGACTTTCGCATTTATAATATTAGTAGGGATATACTACATCACTACTCGTCTAGAAACTCTATAAAAAGGATACCTAATATCAAAGAAAAAAACACGTTTTGTCATTTTTAACATTGATAAATGATTTTTTCGATGTTTTTTCACATTTTTTGTATTTCTCTGTATGTGTTTAGAAATTTTTGGCGACTTCCGGTTGTTATTTCCCCATCCGTCTCGCTCCGGGCGTAACAATTCACATTTAAGCTTTCCGCATGACATACCCGCGAAACAGCCGGGATTACGGCTGGCGTTGGGGTTGGCAGCAGCCGCCAATGAAGCGTGTATCTATAGCAACGCCGGCTTTTCCGCGCTTTTCTCCATTTCGCGCGCATCCGCACCCGGCCTGCCGGGTAGGCGCGACGCCCACGCCGACGCCACCGTCGGGAAATGAAAACGCGGCGCTTCATTTACCACGCGGGCGTTGACTGCGTCACATCGCGACGCACAACTCGCGCACTTTTTACGAAAACATCGTGTTGCCACCTCTTTCATCTGCACCAGACGCGTTTTCTCCTTGAGGTGTGTAGAGTCAACTTAACTCTTTCTAAAGCCAGTTGGAGGTTTAGTTCTTGAATTGAAGTGAGTCAAGCACGCGAGGAGAAGAGAACTGGTTTCATGCATACCTCTTGTTGTACGTGTGTTTACCTGTGAGTGAGTGTGATCAACCTGACTTAAGTCGGTCGACGCGCGATAGTCACATGTGCGTTTGTAACAAATATAAAATGTGATTGTTTTGTGTGGTGATAAAATGATAAGTGAAAAAGTGGCGAATATGGTTAAGTTTGGCTCGAGGAAGGAGAGGCAGGACAAGCGGGAGCTGCTCGCGAGCATGAAGGAAATGAATTGTGATGATAAGCACAACGATAACGGTAATGCTCGACTACCACTATGATAACAGCATTTAATCTTGTGTTTGCGATAAATTTATGCAATAAACAATAAAATAATCATTTGCAATTATTATTTTTATGATTAAAAGTACGTCAGGCGTTTTATATTGAATATTTTCATAAATAACTAAAGTAAAATAATTTAATTTAGTTTAAATTGATACTAAACATTAACGGTTTGTTTATTTAACCGAGATTCAGCGCGTTGAAGGAAAGTTGCAATTTCAAGTGCAATTACTGCGATAAACCAAAATGAAATTATGCCCCGCAGCACTTTTACGTATTTTTTGGATGAAAGCAGATGTTGTATCAACTCTCTTGCGTTTGTGCGCTGCATAATTACTGTTTACTTAATTGGAGAATTTTCTCACGTTTTTGGGTAACATTAACAATTCGTACGCGTACTTTCAGACAAGATGAATCATGATACTCGAGATTCCTACATGTGGTTTAGGAGTGGTCTATCTTTTACGTGCTTGGATTATACTAGAAATCATTCATTTTTTTTTGTTGAGTTTTTACATAAATTATAAGTATAGGCAACCCAAACAACGCAAAAAAAAGTAAAAATTGGGTTACTAGATGAGTTAGGTACGACTGAGCGCTGTGGTCGCTCTGCACTACCCTTTATACCTGCGTACTACCCGCAAAAAGTAGTGGGGGATATGCAGTAGTAGTTCCGTGTAACATAATTAAAGAAGGGGAAGTTTGAGGTTATATTTCACACGTGCACTACTAAAATCCTATGAATTTTATTAAATTACGAGTAAAACTAATCAAATCTTTTATAACTCATTACTTTTTTGCACTTTCACGAATATTACGAATACTTTCCAAAGCAATAAAGATCACAACATTTCACACATGCAGCAGTAAAATAAAATTTTTATTTTTATACGCTCCGCATTTCTTAGTTAATATCCCTGTTTGCTTTTCTTTAGCCAGCACGATTGCTCTGCTTCTTTTACATTTTATTACTATTTCTGCTCATTTTTCCGCTTCATACCCGGTAATAACTCATACAGAAATCCTCCGAATCTCAAGAGAATCTCAGCATCTTGAAATGCTGAGATAAATCACAATAATTTATTAAATTCATCATTTTTACGACGTACACTTCTATATTTATTAAAAATATAAACTTTAGTAACAAATTTATACAAAACTAGCTGTTGCCCGCGACTTCGTTCCGGCTGTGTTTAATAAAAATGTAATTCGTTTTTACTCTCTTGTTCTAGACATACTCGTAGTAAGAGTCAATTCTAACAATAAGATTAGCAATTTTAATTTAAAGAAATTAATTATACAAAGTTTTGTCAATAATGCACTTCAGCGCGCCATCTCGAATTCAACTATTTAACTATAACTATGATTATATCTCAATGTCAAATTTTATTCTATAGAAAAGAGCTGTTTTGAGGATTTTCCCGGCAATTATTCGAATTTTTCGCACCTTTTAAACCTTCCCTAGACCTCCACGAATAATTCAAGACCAAGATAACATAAATCCGTTCAGCCGTTCTCGAGTTTTAGCGAGACTAACGAACAGCAATTCATTTTTATATATATATAGATTTAGAAATAAAAAGTAAAATAATTAGAAAATAAAACAAAACAATAAAAAATACAATTTATTTTAATTGTTAAGTCTTCATTCTTCATTTCCTAGAGATCTGTCCAAGTTGAACTACATCTCTGAGTATAAACATAAAATAAATGCTTTTACCCTTTTAACTAAAGTAGTATAAAGTGATCCAGTCACTTCGTCTCTATTCTAGTTCCCTCATAGATAGTAGAACACAATACAGTGCAGTTAAGTAAAAGCTCACTCGTGCTTCATCTTCATCTTGAAACATTAAAACATTCAAACAAATGACTGCACAATGCATAATTTCTTTCTTCCTGTACAATACTAGACACTCGTACAACTTATATGTTAAGTTTATGTTTGCTTGCTTTCTTGCTTCACTGCGCATTTTTGAGTGCAAACAAAAACGTTCTGCTGCATTATACTACAGTGATAAAGCACGAAAGTAGTGAAAGAGCAGAAAGTACAAAGTGGCGGAGTATTAACACTTCATTTTATTTGGTTATATTTAGAATTACAATTTAGAAAGCTTTCCAGAGTGAAATTTACAGCTTTTGTGTATTATTATTACGCGGAAAATGATTTATAACTTCTAGAGTGCCAGGAATTACATTTTATGCCTCGAATAATTAATAAATAATTACTTTTAGCTTAAAATTAATTTTTTTATGTTTTATTTGTTTTTAGAACAAAAAAAATTTTTTTTGCAAATCTGAAGACATTATGTAAATACCCAGCTATTATTACATAGAAATTAACATAATGCGTACTTTTCCAACAATCCAAACACGCAAAAACTTGAAAATCATTTCCTGCATGCGTCAATTCAACCTCTAACCTCATTCACTCATTTTCGTTTCTCTATGCTTGTATATTCTGAACGTGTTGCCTTTATTCGGTTTAAAAGTAATAAAAGCAAACATGAAACACGCCAAAATGTGAAAAGGACGCCGGAGTAGCCATTGAAAATGTAACATAATAGGACGACCATCGTCGGGGTGTGCCTCAGAGTGGGTTTCAGTTCAGTTTGCAGTTGGAAAAGTTGAATACGAGGCACGCACGCCGCCCGCGCACGTAGAAAACATTTAAACTTTAATTTTACCCCTGCGAGCGCGCACGCATAATAACACTAAAGAGCATCGTGTTACAAAATGGCCACCGGGTGGATACACTGGTGACGGTTTTAATTAAAGGACATATTTTTATTTCACACTTCAAAACAAAACGTGACACAAACTTCATGATATTATCATGAAAGATATATAGGAAGTTATAAAATATAATTTTAGAGGTTATGTTATTATAATTGTTGATAAATTTATTAAATTTATCATAAAATTTGTTTTTTGGTGCATTGTAGGTAAATACGCAGGCGTAAGTTTCACCCCGTGACTAAAATCCGTGATTAAAGTACTTTAGTCACGGTTATGGCCGACCGTGTATAAAGTGTCACTTTTTGTATGTTAAAACCTTGAAAAACTAAAATTTTAAAAGTGTAAGTAGAAAAATATACTTTTTTAGAGGTACTTTCATCATAATCGTTAATATTGATTACTTTTGACATAAAATCCAATGTGTATGATCAATTTCCAGGACAGGAACACAAAAAAGCTTTTATATTTTTTCCTGCTACTTTAATACATCCCCAAAAGTTGATTAAAAGTGATTTTATGAACAATATCTAATAATATCTCCAATATTCGATCCTTTAAACCAATATTTATAAAATTTTACTTAAAATATTGTAAAACACTTCATTCTAAAGTCAGTATGATGTCCGTGTTGTTCTGCACACCATCAGACGTCATCTCCTCCAAACAAAACGTCACGTAATCCATTTTACGATGTTTATATTAACGCTGATGCAGTTTCACCTCGAAGATTGGTGTTTTGATTAAATTTCCCTCTTTACCTGCATTTGCATCATCAAATTACCAGCAACCACCAACCTACTTTGTCTTCATTACGTGTATTTAGGGTTGCCTAGATTGAGATTAGCCACAAATCGATTTTGCCATTTGGAACACAATAGAGAAGAATATTTTATACTGCAGAGGGGAACTTTATGAGGTTATGTACTTGAATACTTCAAAGGCTAGAATTGCTTGTGTACGAGTACTAAAATAGTTCTTAAAGACTTTACAAAGTCACCGCAGGCCTGCAATTAGCATTTACCTTGACCTGATAAAACGCACAGGTGACGTGGTGTTGCACATACAAAGGAAAGGTGCAATCGTCAAGTAGTTGCAATGTGAGGTTATTGATTTTTCTAATTATTCTATAAATGATACATTTATTGAGGTTTGGTTATAATCCCTACTAATATTATAAATGCGAAAGTCCTGATGTTTGTTACACTTTCACGCAAAAACTACTTAACCGATCATCATGAAAATTTCTACACATATTCTTAGTGGTCCCCGAATGGTTATAGGCTACTTTTTATTTAATAAATTATATTTTTTAGCAAAAAATAGGAAAAAATGAGAAAAAAGCGGAAAAAAGCAGAAGAGGCGCGTGGTATTGCATCTGTCGGTTAATAACAATAAAATATATTATTATTAAGTAAAGATTTTAATAATTATGGAATTATTTAATGATAATTGAGGCTTGGAACACAAAAAAACGTTTTTTGGATTTTTAATGCAAGTTTCATGATAATTTTAATAAAAATGAAGGAAAAAAGGCAAAAAAATGTCAAAAATATGGCAAAACATGTAAAGCACCAATCAGAAAGCACAACTCAACACTGACGTCACTTCCCGGTCATGTGCTATCAAGTTTTCACAATTTTACACAGTTTTTCACTGTTTTTTGACAAAATTTTGACATTACACGCAATATCAAAGCAAATATCTTCACCTAAACCAACAATTTCTTCAAAAATATATATTTACGTTTAATCCCTACTAATATTATAAATGCGAAAGTCCTGATGTTTGTTACACTTTCACGCAAAAACTACTTAACCGATCATCATGAAAATTTGTACACATATTCTTAGTGGTCCCCGAATGGTTATAGGCTACTTTTTATTTAATAAAAAAAATTATTTTTAAAATAAAATAAAGAAATTGTTTAGCCAATAATACCTCTGCATCTGGCTATTTGACTACTTTAACGCCATCTAGCATTCCAGCAATGAAGCTCAAACCTAAGTACTATAGTACCATCACACTGTATTATCACACTGTATTACCGACAGCTACGTCAACATCAAATCCAATTGACTACACTATGGAGACTGTACACTATACTTCCATAGACTATACTTTCAGCCATTTTAAACTTCCCGCCATTCTACTTCATTGTTACTTCTTCTGTGACTACAGACGCGTACGGAAGCAACTTCATTATTTTAGATATTCGCGAGCGAAGCCGCGGGTTAAAGCTAGTTTCTTATATTTTTGTGTTGCACCGTAGGCAAATGCGCAGGCGCGAGTTCCACCCGTGACTAAAACCCGTGACTAAAGTACTTTTTTGGTGGTCCGTGACTAAAGCAACTTCATTATTTTAGATATTCGCGAGCGAAGCCAAGGGTTAAAGCTAGTTTTTAATTAATTTTATACAAATTTTATTCATTTTGGTTTTTTGCACCTCCAGAGGTAATTTCCATGTTATTACCATGAATATCCGTCATGCGGAAATGAATGCCCATATTCACGGCCCAATGAACCGCATCAATGAGAGTATACGAGTATAATTCAAGACGTCAACGTTCTCTCATCTCGACTTTATCTACACTTTACACTTTATTCACTTGGGATTGAAAACGAACAAAATGTACATCTAATTTCAATTCTTCACGGAAATAGAATTTTTCCATGGGCGAGCGTATAAATCAACGTTAAAAAGTAACATCCTGTGCCAACGTGCGGTTTCGGTTTTGCCCTTTTTTCTGTTTTTATGTCGGAGCAGTTTTTATTGGAATTAAGTCGTAAATCAAAACAGGGAATGCGAGAATTAATGTTTCTTTTGTTACCGACCTTTGTTTCCCGTTACCTAAGGAATCGAAGGACTCAAAGGACTCGTACGCATTTTTAGTTTCCAGTGGTAACCAAGTTTGATATTGATTTGCGCTTCTTTTTGGGTTTGCGTTTCGTGCTGATGCGATTTATTTTATGGAGGAATTCACGTTTTGAATTTCGGTGCGAAGCTAGGTGGATAAGGAATCCAAAGGTTGTTTTTATGAGATTTCTGGTTGAGATTAAGGCGCAATGCAATTTCTCAAGCAATTCAACCCTTTTTATACGATTTGCAAAAGATTTAACAAATCTGAAGGTAATTTCTGTAAATTTTAGGGTGCAATCTCCATACCGTGACTAAAACTCGTGATTAAAGTACTTTAGTCACGCCCGTGCATAAAGTACCACTTTTTGTGTCTCAAAACCGTAAAAAACTGACGTTTTAAAACTGAAAATGGAAAAATTGATTGAATTTAATGTTTATTATGTTTACAAATCAAATATCAATAAACTCCGATTGGAAATCATCGCAGGCGCATAATTTCCGCACGCGGCTATTTTCAAATGCATGAAATCGTCGAGAGAAGTCGATGGCTTTAAATAAAACACACTCTCGTTTACTTAACAGCTCAACGGTGAAATATAAAATGCATTAAGGGGCCTAATCGATTATTTACACATGCGAATCGAATTTCCGCCTTTCTCGGTTTCGCCGAAACGCGAAATGCGAAGTGCTAAAAGCGAAAGGAAGTAAGCCGAATTAGATTATCTTCTTAACATTCTACAAACGAAAAATAAAAATAAATAAAAAAGGGAAAAAAAGAAAAAGAAAACTCACGTTGAATAAGTTGCTAAAGGGAATGTTTTTATTTTTGTTTCAGCTGCTTTTCAGCACGTACGAGATAACATCGACGAGCTGGACGGCACTGATGGGATCAACGAAACCGATCTGGTCTTTCTCAAGGGGTTGATGGATAGTCCTGTATTTCAAAATTTAGTCAAGGTAACATAAAAAAAATTTATCTGAAAAGTGTTTTACAATTTATGATGAATTTGAGACATTTTATTTTGCAATACATAAAAAACCGGCTTAATACCGGTATTCTTGTTTTTAAAAACCGGTATTTATAAAAGTAATCGGTATATTAACAAAATAATTGATTAAAATTAATAAACTATAAATTGTATTGCAAAAAGTCGGTTTTCGACAAAAATACCGGTTTACCGATATTAATACCGGTGTTTATAAAATTAAGTATTTCTACAATCAGTAAATTAACAAAATATTTGATTGAAATCAGTAAACTATAAATTGTATATAAAAAATACCGGTTATTCATAGAAACACCGGTATACCGGGTGTCAATACCGGTTATTTCACACCTCTAGGCAATTTTCTGATAATTTTTTTACTAATTATCAGTTACTATTGAAAATCGATAAAATAGGTCATTTGCAATACGCTAAAACCTAAAATAAATACGATCATGTTTCGAATGTTCAAGTTTTCACTGCGTGCTTGTAACGACTTTAAAAATGTTCACACAAAGTTGCACTCACTGTTTACGTTTACACATGTCTTTCAACACCGCGCAGTCTATTTACACAACGGAGTGAATCGGAAATTATGATCTGCTGAAAGCGGCTATTCGAAAATCCGCTGGGCAAATTGCGCCAACGGCAATCTAAAACACTAAAACACCAACCAACTAAATTTAAGTACAGATTATTCCAACATAACATAAAATAATCTTCCGTATTTATTATTTAAATAAATTTAAATTTGTGCAGTGGATTAATTCAATTACGTATGCCACTTTAAAATACTTGAGAGAATGTCATTCATTATTACTCAGTCACTTAATCTCTTAAAGAGACAATGAAGTTAATTTTTTACTTAATTATTTAAATGAATTTTCACTCAGATTTCTTTGGAGAACAATTTATCATCGGAGTAAAAACCTGAAACGTGCAATTATCCGGCGCCAAATAATTATCTGCGTCTGTAGACATTATAATCCTCATTACTGGCTAGTTGGCGTTGCACTCGACTCGAATTTCCCTTCCACCACTTTATGTGGGGAAGTTTTGCCCTCATGTTCAAGTAACGACCTCACATTAATGCATAATGCCATGCATTATTACAACAGATTTATTTTATCTTGCTTTTCTCTTTATTTCTGTAAATAATAGTCGAAAATCGAATATTAAGTATCAAGTGCGCTAAATGGCACTTTAACAACGTTTTTACAACGGCACATTACATCCCTACTAATATTATAAATGCGAAAGCCCTGATGTTTGTTACACTTTCACGCAAAAACTACTTAACCGATCATCATGAAAATTTGTACACATATTCTTAGTGGTCCCCGAATGGTTATATGCTACTTTTAATTTAATAAAAAAAATTATTTATGAAATAAAATAAAGAAATTGTTTAGCCAATAATACTTCTATATCCGGCTATTTGACTACTTTAACGCCATCTAGCATTCCAGCAATGAAGCTCAAACCTAAGTACTATAGTACCATCACACTGTATTATCACACTGTTTTACCGACAGCTACGTCAACATCATATCCAATTGACTACACTATGGAGACTGTACACTATACTTCCATAGACTATACTTTCAGCCATTTTAAACTTCCCGCCATTCTACTTCATTGTTACTTCTTCTGTGACAACAGACGCGACGGAAGCAACTTCATTATTTTAGATATTCGCGAGCGAAGCCGCGGGTTAAAGCTAGTTTCTTATATTTTTGTGTTGCACCGTAGGCAAATACGCAGGCGTAAGCTCCACCCCGTTACTAAAACCCGTGACTAAAGTACTTTTTTGGTTATCCGTGACTAAAGTACCACTTTTCGTGCCTCAAAACCATAGAAAAACTGCTAAAAGTAAAAAAAATATTTTTTTCATTAATATTTTGTCTGTTATCATTACCGTGACTAGTCTGGCAACTGGCGGCAGCCCCAAGACAGTATTGATCGACTTGTCGCCTTTCCGATGCGGCAAAAGCACGCCGGCATCGCGCCACAACCTCAAATCCTGAAATCGCAGTGGTTTGCGGCGTCCTCAAAGGACCAGACATGCATGCAGCTCGCGCCGGGTACAATAAACTATGTACGCAGCTGTTTTTCTCAATCTCGCCAACTTTACGAGCACGACGCGAATGCATTCTGCATCGACAATTTTTACACGAAATAGTACTCCATTCCCCCAGGAAACGAGAAAATTGTGAGAAGTACTCATAAATAAATAGAGGATTTTATATTTCACAAAAATATTAAGGTAAATGTTTGAAAAATACAGCTTTTTGGCAAAAATATTCAGATTTGTAAGGAAAAATAACCTAAATTGCTTTTTCAAGTAGAAAAATGTTGTGATTTTGCGTGATTTATGATGTTTGGCAAAGTTGCCAGGATATTGGAAATTGCTGCCCAACTAGGACGACTGTTATGTAGAATCAAATCTTTGCTGATTTTAAGTTGGCGTCTGTTACATCGATATTTATTAGCTTGTTTGGCAATAAAGGCGGAACATGAGGCGGTAACCTGGTAACAAAAGCGATTTTTACGTTCTACAACATCTAAAGTGCAATTTAAAGTTAGTTTACCCAAGCTTTTCATCCATGCACGTTCATAATACTCCAGAAAAACAAAAATTATTTATTTTTTTGTTGATTATACGAAATAAATTTGTGAATGTTGTGAAAAGTTAAAAGCTTTCTAAGAGTTACAAGTTTTCGTCTTCCATTGATGGAAGAAAACTGTCCGGGAAGAAAAAACGTCCTCAGAGGACGGAAAGGAAACTGTGCGAACTCAAAGAAACTCGAAACGCTGAATTATTGAAGTGTTTGTCGTGGAATTCCAGCGACATTTGCGCCCGGCTGAAGTTTCATTATTTCCACAGCGTTTTTGCGGTGTTTTCTTTATTTTCTTGCGCAAACTTTGTATGTTTTTCTATTTATCTTGTGGAGTGTCGCAGGGCTAAGCAATTTCAATTTTCTCCTTGACACAAACAACAACTTTATATTTTTTATCCAAAAAATAACAAAAAATAACAAAAAATGGAAAATTACGAAGAATTATTTAAAGAAATGGTAAGTTTTTTATATTTTCGTCATTTATTCACTCATTAATAGATATAAAAAACATTTTTTTAATTTTTGTGTTGTAATTCATCGTTGCCGTGGTATTACCATACCCCATCGCAATTAACCTGTGCGTTGGACTCACGGGACCACTTACACCGATGCAATCGTATGCATCGGTCCCCACCGACGACGAAACAACGAAACAAAAACGACGCGCCGCGGCAGTTGATACATTACCAACTTTACCATCACCACACGCGAAGCATTCTACTCCTACCATCGTCCATCGCCCATCGCGGACGCAAACGAAAGACGTATAGTTTAGTCTTGCTTGCCCATTCGTTAGCGGTTGGTGAACACACCTCATGCGACGCGCACCTTTAAATGACTCACAAAAATTTACAATATTTACAAACAAATTTATTCATTTAATATTATTGAAGAAAAAAAAATTAATTTGGTTGAATATTAGTGTAGTTATTGAGTGTATAAAGTGTACATTCCGCCTGGATGACGCACCGCCGCATATAGGATTACGAATGGTCGAAAAACAAGGTAAAACTAGTTTTTTACGTGTTATAGGTTGATTATTTTGCGGTAGAATAAAAAGGATAACGCAGGATAATGATAAATGTTTGAATATTATGCATTATCATTTGAGGGCGCGTTATCGCGTATAGGACAGGTGTAGGAATGATAAGCGTACGTGCGAAAGGCGTCTACGATTGGATTAAGCGCGTTGTTACCTGGCCGTGGGCCACACCTGTGAAAGTCGCGGTTGACGCGCCGCGCAACGCTTCGCGAGCTGGCAACACTGCGCATCTTACTAGACGTGGAATCATTTTTAGGTTTTCTTTAAGATATTTTACAATAATTTATTATTATAGACTTTTATGGACTTTTTAAGCGATTTTTTTTCTTTTTTTTATGTAAAACTTCAGTGTGAGGAAAATGAGGGCATATTTCTTATATCTTATCAACATAATGTGTTTTTACTTGGGTCAGGACAAAAACCCCAAACTTAATTCATGTTTTCATTAAATAGGGCTCTGTGGGTTGTAATTTTGCACATTGCGGCGCGTTTTCGGCGACTTTGTGGTGAAATGGATCATAAATATGGAGTACTTGGGGTTTTGATAAAATTATCTTGGTTTATATTAAATTCCTAAACGTTTTGAAACGATTTTTACTCTAAAATAATAAATAAAACTTTGGGATACTAAAAAGTTGATTTTTTGAATTTTTAGAAAGGTTTTCAAGTTTAATTAAATATTTTTTCGTTGAAAATGTAACGTTATTTCATGCTCACTTCCTTTTCCTTTCGGATTCACACTGCCTGAGTTCATAACGTGACTTTTCTTATTTTTTCTCATTTTTTATGCGTTGCTGCGCAGAGGAAATTCGTTTTTTGTCCAATTATTTTTAGTTTAGTTATGCAAGCATTATTCCGACGAATATTTTATTAATCTAAGGAGATATCATGTTAAAAATAACAAAAGTTTATTACTCTATGCGGTAACTTTATGCCAGGCCATTTGCAAATGTTGTTTGATAGTAAATGCAAAATGCAAGGCGATTTGAGTACATATCATGCATACACAATGCGCCATTATCATTAAATTCTTATTTTATTGCATTTGAGTATCATATTCACGATTCACGACAAAACGTTTTGTGTACAATAAGAGAATATTCATGTTTTGTTCTATCATGACTCAAAGATAACAAAATTTGTGATAGAAAAAAGTTTATTTTAGTTTTTTTTTTAGTTTTTTTAGTTTTTAACTTATACTTTGAGTTGGTGAGCGAATAAAATATCACAACATATTTTAAAAGATACTTTAGAGCAGTACAAACATGAAATATTTCATGCTTGACGCTCTCACTAAACATTTAGAATTATTTTTGCATAAATTACAACGTGGCTGTTAAATATGCTAAGTTTAACCACAAAAATCGATGGTTTGAGTAAAATATTCTTTTATTTTTAACATTTTTAACATTTTACAAAGATTATGCTATAATTTTCATCTCGTAGTATTTTTTAAACTTTAGATTAGAAACTAATGAACAAATTATTAGTTGGTACACATTTATATTGTAAATCTGTGACAAGTTATAACAACGTTTGTTCTCAAACTTTTTCTTTTCATGCGAAAATAAATAAAAAGGGCACTACACTAAGCAGGATAATTATTATTGTGAGTGAAAAATCTAGTTGCAAACATTCCCACAGTTTTGTTCTCAATTAAAACTGTTTTTGTAGCGCAATAGCACATTGGCATATTATTTACATAAATAATAATTATAAATTCAAGTTATAATCAAATTAAACGCGATTATTTTTTGTTTTTATTGTAAAAATGCAGAAAAATGCACTTTGGAGTTAATTCTGAGTCATATTCATAACATATGACTGTGAAATTCGTGAATCAAAAGAACAAAAGTTAATAATGAGTCTACAAGGATGACTAACACAATAACCATAACTATAATACAGTATGTTTTAGTAAACTATTTCTTTTTGATTTCACATTCTCAGGATTTTCTTTTTCTTTCATTTTAAATTCTAAAATATTATTACGAGGAAACATGAAATAATAGACGAGAAAAAGTTGCGTGTTGAGTGCACAACTCTTCTCTTCCCTATTGTTTATTTGATTCGCTATTATTTAATTCGAAAATTCGCCGGAATTTCATGCCAGTTGCGTGATTAGGTGAACATGCGAAATGACGAACACATTATGTATGTGTAACATGCAATAATCGCTCTAATAACATACATTTCGCATGGTATTAACATACAATTAATTCTTATTAATATACATATTATTATGACACACAATTTTACAGAAAAAAATCATTAAAAGACCTGAAAATGACAATTTTATTAAATTTTTAAAATTAACCTGATTTCAAATAGCAAAACATGATGTATATTTTTATAAATAGCTATATACATCACTATGAATGTTTGAATGTTTTTATTATTGTTGCTAGTAGATATGTGCAATATGACACTCGTTACGCGTGACCTGAGAACATCGCACGTACGAATTCCTCCTCGCTGCTGCTGTACGCGCGCAGGTCAAGCGAGTTAAACGTTAATAACGTGCGGTTAATTAACGCACGAGATTGCTATTTATTGCAGCGAATTAATGTGTTAGTCATGCTGTGTACCAGTACGTGCAACATGAAGTAACAACTGTGACCTAGTTTCATGTTCTTCTATCAATCATTCAATTCGTAATCTATTTTGATTTTTTTTTATTCAAATTTTATGATTCACATTGATGAATCACAAAGGAAACAAAAAATATTAATTTAAAAATAATAAACAAACATGTAAATCATTGTTTTCTACTCTAATCCCTACTAATATTATAAATGCGAGAGTTCTGATGTTTGTTACACTTTCACGCAAAAACTACTTAACCGATCATCATGAAAATTTGTACACATATTCTTAGAGGTCCCCGAATGGTTATAGGCTACTTTTTATTTAATAAAAAAAAATATTTTTTAAATAAAATAAAGAAATAGTTTAGCCAATAATACCTCTGCATCTGGCTATTCGACTACTTTAACGCCATCTAGCATTCCAGCAATGAAGCTCAAACCTAAGTACTATAGTACCATCACACTGTATTATCACACTGTATTACCGACAGCTACGTCAACATCAAATCCAATTGACTACACTATGGAGACTGTACACTATACTTCCATAGACTATACTTTCAGCCATTTTAAACTTCCCGCCATTCTACTTCATTGTTACTTCTTCTGTGACTACAGACGCGTACGGAAGCAACTTCATTATTTTAGATATTCGCGAGTGAAGCCGCGGGTTAAAGCTAGTATTATTATAAAAATAAATATTGTTTAAATCCTGTTATTTTTAGATGACTAATGTTTTTATTATCCTAAAATAATTGATTATTACTTTATTGAACTTATTTTGCCCACGCACTGCTCATAAAGCAGAAGAGCTCGAAAGTTGCAAAAGAATCATAACGGTAATAACGGTCCTCTGCGTTCGTTTTTCTTTTATTTACTTGTTTACTTGTTCACTTCTTCAGTACGAATGCTTTGTTGCTCTAGTATGTTCTCCTTGCTGCTCCACACCGCATTCCTCTGGCTTCTGCAAATAAAAATATCCGACAGCCGGGCGACACGCGCGCGGAATGTAAATGAACAACACCTGTTGTCATAATAGTCTGGGAAGAAGAACAATTTATAAAACGGAGACTTTAGTAGTAATCTTATATAAAAAGAAGAGGATTGTGACAAAGAGATAGATAAAGATATTTTCTTTTCAAGATAAAATTCAACTCAAACAATTTTTCGCTTATCTTTATAATTTTAACGTTTTTTTTGTTTGGGGTAGCTCAGTAGGGGTGGTAGCACCGTAGAAAGTGAATTATTACCTGGTTGTATCACGCACGCTTCAGGGTTTTATAATTTTGTGTGAAGATGTGAAGAAATACGACAGACGTCAAAGCACGCGTCATAATTTAATTTTTTTGGGGAAAAAAGAACAAAAATACGTTTTTTGAATATATAAAAGGTAGATTACCGTTGGAAGTGTTGAATGTCTTGCCTTTCTAACTTTCTTGAAGGTTTTTATCAAGTTCTTTGTTCTCATGAACCTCTTAACTCTTAACGGCTGAGTAATCAAGGGATAAAACCTGTTTGTGGCACGATGTAGAGTAACTCAACGGCCATTCCACGTCGTTTGTGGTGTTACACCTGAGTAACTCTTATGATTATCATAAAGTAGGAAAAAATGTATAAATGGCGATAGTATAAGTTTATGACTTTCGTTTCGTGTGTATTCCAAAGTCTGAAACAAACAAAAACTGAAAGTAAACTTTTTTTTCACTTTTTCTTAGTTCCCCTAAAGCCTAAAGTCCAAAGTAACGTTTATTCTTCACTGGCCAGACAGTTTTTTATACGTCTACCTAAAACTACCTGCTCGGAAGGTGTAGTAAAGGTAGTAAACCCTTTGGATGCGCTTGACTTCAAAACTTTTGGGTCGTTTGACCGCTCAGACGGACAAAATGTAGACGAAGTGTAGACAACTCGGAAAAGAAAAGAAAACTAGTTTAGGAGTGTAAAAGTGAGGGTGCGATCCGGTCAATATGATTGATTGTTTACAAAAGTGTCTGTAGTAATGTCTACAAGGTTTAAATGCCCTGTGTCTTCTGTTGGAGGGCGTTGGAGGGCATCGTAAGGTGCTCGAACACCAGTCATTTCTACCGATGCCCTCGTACGATGCCCTGAACACAAGTCACTTCTACCGTCTGTACCTACGGTGCTCGGAACACGAGTCACTTCTACCGCTACCCTTGTACGGTGCCCTGAATCGAGTCACTTTTACCGCTACCTTCGTACGGTGCCCTGAACACGAGTCACTTTTACCTTCTGTACCTACGGTGCTCTGAACCCGAGTCACTTCTACCGCTACCTTCGTACGGTGCCCTAAACACGAGTCACTTCTACTGCTACCTTCGTACGCTCTTTTTGAACTGTCTTTTAAAATACAGACGTTTTTTTTTTCTTAAATTGTGTCTATTGACCTCACAAATCATTTTGTAATCGAAATCGTAACAGAAGCCAAAGCAATATGGCGTCAAGCGCTAATAATTTTGATAGTAAAAGTAAAATAAACAAACACGCAACAGCAAACATTTCTTACGCTCTCATAACAATTCCCAATAACAATTCATATGAAATTCAAGCATAAACAATAAACACATGTGAATTGCAAGTCATAATAATAATTATTTTAAATTTAAGCTACGTGATAACAAATAATATTAATAATATGATAATAAAAATAAATCACTTCTCACTTTTGTTTTCTTTAATTTCGTATACCAAGCTTCCATTTCAACAGTTATGTTATTATTATTACAAACTGTAATCCAAGCCAGTACAAAATGCAATTGCAAAATAACAAGCCGTTGAACGCAATGAAGAAACAAGTAACATGAAACATGTCGACACTCCGGTCACGGTTACAACTTTTAGAACAATAAACACACCGAGTGAATGTACTTTTAATCAAAACTCAACATTAAATTCTTTTGTTTCTTCAAGGTGCAAGACCGATTGGAAGAGCCACCAAAGTTACCAGAACCGCTGACGTCCAACTGTAAGGAACTGCAGCACGAGCTGATAATCCGCTGTAATCATCTATCAAGATCCCGAGACGTCCGTGAATTGGCCACGCTTATCAAGAGCCCGCATTTTCGCGCACTCATCGACACGCACGACCAGATCGCCAAGGTGATACTTGGCCCGAAAGTCTCCAGTCCCAAAGTCGAAGATATCCTGCCAGATTTGAACGGGATGACGGGGGAAACCTTCCGGATGGTTGGGCTTAGGCGAAAGCCTGGTGAACCACTTGGATTAACTGTAAGAAAAAGTTTTTATTCAAAATTTAAAAATTTAAAAATTTTTACTTAAAAATTGTGAATTTATAGGTACAAGTTGATGATCATGAGAATCTAGTCGTTGCTAGAATACTAGAAGGCGGAATGATTGATAAACAAGGCCTTCTGCATGCCGGAGATGTAATTCTTGAAGTGAATAATGTCTCGGTGTATACCCCTGAAGACCTACAAACAGAAATTGCCAAATCCAAGGATTCAGTCACGTTGAAAATCGGCCAAATGCAAAATGAAGAGGAGGTTGTCACACATTCACCTTTAATCATGGCAAACGGCAATGCAAAACATGGCGCTGCTAAAAAACTAACTGTAAATATTTATTCTTTACTTCTAAACTTAATTTATTACTAATTGTTTATTAATTCTAGTGTTATATGCGTGCATTATTTGAGTATAACCCTGATGAAGACACACTTCTTCCATGCAAAGAAATTGGATTACATTTTGAACGTGGAGACATCCTGCAAATTCTAGACCAAAAAGATCCCAACTGGTGGCAGGCTAAAAAGGTCGGCACTGAAGGCCCAGTGGGTCTCATTCCATCAATCGAATTAGAAGAACGTCGTAAAGCATTCGTCCATCCCGAAGCAGACTACGTCCACAAAATCAGTATATGCGGAGCAAGGATCTCAAAGAAAAAGAAGAAAATCATCTATCAGTCGAAGAGTAACACTGATTTTGATAAAGCTGAGTTGTCTATCTATGAAGAAGTCACACGAATGCCACCATTCAAGCGAAAAACACTTGTTTTGATTGGAACACAAGGCGTTGGACGTCGAACTATGAAGAATCGTCTGATTAATTCAGATCCCAATAAATTTGGAGCTGTTATTCCATGGACAACGCGACCACAACGAGTTTTGGAAGAGAATGGTGTGAATTATTGGTTTACAGATGTTGAAACGATGGACGAGGAGATCAAAAAGCACAAATTCTTAGAATATGGAGAGTATAATAATTATTTGTATGGCACACACTTGGATACGATGAGAGAGATTATCAAACAAGGAAAAATGTGTGTCTTGGATTGTAGTCCGACATCTTTAAAGATACTGCATAACAGTACGGAGTTTCTACCGTATGTTATTTTTATTGCTGCGCCCGGAATGGAACATTTAAAGACTTTATATGATGTTGGCAAGAACAATTCGAATTTGAGGAATTCCAGCAGAAATCTTGCGGTAAGAATCAAAAGATTTCCAATAATGTTTATGCATCTTGTTAATCATTAATATTTTCATGTTTTGTGATTGTGATTTTGTTTTAATTTCGTTTCAATTTTGATTTTGGCATGTAGTTTGATCGCCAAAGCTCAATTAGGTACAGTTCTCGAAGAGCCAGAACATTGGAGTCTTTAGCATCACTATATGAGGTATGTAATTTGTTTATTTTACATATTAATGCAAATCTAGCTTGATTAGCACTCACTAAATGCACAGGTAATGAAAAATCATATCATATTTGCACGACAATCAATAAATTTGTTCAGTATTGTAATATTTAGTGCTTTATGCAGGTTATGAGTTGTTTAATGTTATTTTAACGTTTTAGGAAGAAGATTTAAAGAAAACTCTTGAAGATTCAGCATCACTGCAACGAACTTATGATAAATACATCGATCTCGTCATCACCAACAATGATTTCGACTCGACTTTCCGCCAAATTGTTGATGCATTAGATGCATTGTCCTCTGAGCATCAGTGGGTGCCTGTTAATTGGATATATTAACATCTAGGCTATCATTTCAGATCGAAACAGTTCACATGTTCACATGTTCACATCCAAGCTACCAAATGCCATAATATACATGTTTTCATACTCTTATTGTGAGAATACTCTCAACAACGCTTCTTATGCAAAAGGAATGAATGATAGTACAAACACTACAACCAAGTTGATTAAACATTAAAAATTATCTTCGTGGAAGCGAAACAAAAGAACAGAAAAACGAAATAAACTTGTGTTACAAATGCTATATGTAAATTATGCCTAAATTTATACAAATTACTTAATTGAGATCTATCTATAACCATCAAAATGGTAAGAATGTTTATGTAAATGTATTTTACTTAAGTTAGCTGTAATTGTAAACTCGTAATGCATGTAATGTAATAATGTGCAAAGTAAGTGTACATAAGACTTTCGATATGAAAGAAAATCACAGTGGATAACCCCGTACTATGCAAGTGTCTACAAAAGCAGCATTTGCTGATCGTCCAAGCGATTCAATGAGTGTCTGAACTTTTTAGGCTACTTTAGATGTAAACGCAATGTTAAATCATTCAAGTATCTAAGATTCTAGCAGTATACATTTGTTCTAATTGTTATTTTATATTTTATATCTACATTTGACGGCCAATGCACGTTGTAGTATTTGCTTAGATGATAATTAGTTAAAAATTGAACAGAGTTAGAGAATCGTTTTCTATGCTAGACGCGTAACAATCGAAGATTAATTATTAGGTGCTGCAATCTATATTTTATAATGAATTACTTAGTTTTTAATTTGCTAACCGTCCAATGTGTTCAGGGATAATTTTATTCTTGTTTTATTGAATGTATGATGATATGCGACATCACCATTTGTTATTCATTGTAAAATTTTACGATTTATTGATGCATCTTGTGTATTCATATGTTTTCTATCAATTTTAATAAAGTTAGGCATAATAATCACTGAGATTAATTAAATAAATCGATAATTTTTTTATGACTTAAAAAGTTTTAAAAGTGTGAAGTATTACAATTGGGTGCAGGTAGCTTTAGATTTTGTTAAAGTTTTAGTAAATATTCGCTAGATGGCAACTTGAGTCTGTTGGCGGTATTTATTTGTATCGGCATGTGAGGTGACTCTGATAAAACAAGTGTTTGTGATTATATTTAAACTATTGCTGGGTGTATCGTTGATTCCAAGGTGAAAAACAAACAATAACATTTGATTTTTGCATGCTGTTTTTATCTGTTAGTGCCAAGATCAGACGAAATATGTTAGTTAACTATATAACCTTAAAATACAAATACCGCGTGCGGTGTAAATTTTGCAACAAATAACTAATTTATAATTTAAAAGTAGCGCTTAATAGTTAATACTATTGTAATAATAATAATATTTTATATTTATTTTGAGTTTCAGTTACAAGGTGTACGAAATTCGCTTGAGAAACATTTTTGTTTCTTCGTGTTTTGTTTATTTTTTGTTCACAGTTTTTATCGCGCGGATTTAAAAGGAAAAACTCTACAAACATGTCGAATTCTAGTGAAGTGGTAAGGAAAAGAAACGTAATTATTCAGTGCGGGGATGTGTTGCTTAGCGACGAAGAAAACATTGTTGTTTTAAACAGAACTTGGTCTCCTGTGCGCGAGTTATCCGATGATTTCTGCTGCAGTGATCACGAAGATGAAACAACTTCACAATCTGATAAGGTAAAACCTAAATTTCTAAATTTCCTTCCTTCTTTTAATTCCTATTGATAAATATTGATTTAACTCTTGACGCGGATGAAAAAAAATCGTAAACAAGATAAACATCTCCTTGATTTGCTTCGAAACGAATTCTGCGCGTTTTTGTCATTTCTAAATGATCAAATAACTTGCACGCGTTGAATTTCCCCTGGATGGCAATTTCTTTCATTCTCGTTGGCTTCATACATGGAAGTCTCGGAAGAAAATCGAATTACGCATTAAGTAATGTGATAATACACACTTATTCCCCTTCAAGTCGAATTCTGTCACACGATACGCGATACACACATATTTGTTATTTAATTATCAGGTTTAATTAACTTGATTGCCACTCACATTGGCGCACATTGTATGCTCGGCGTTATACTTCAACTCAAAGAAGACATGCAACGCTTTCAAAGGCGGAGCACATTTTGTCAATCATAGGATGACGTGAGTCGTGCGGCGCTCTTACAAATTGTATTTGATCTAATATCGTGTATTTCTTTGGTAAAACATGTTTTTTTTGTGTCTGGGATACAATGGAGGTGGAAAATGGAAATATTTGTTTATTTCAGGTTGAATGTGGAGAAAATAGGTTTGTAGTTGCATTTTTAGTGAATATAAAAATAGTATTCAGGAAAAATACAAGACAAACAGGTTTGATCAACAAATAGGGTTGTAATTTACAATTATGGACTTTTATTCAAAGATACGTGGATAAAAATAGAGTTATCATCTTTATACTTTATTCTGAGAGAGTATAATCATCGTTAGTCTCTTTTCTTTAAATAATTTCCTTGAAAAACTTATCAATTCACGAAATATGACGCGAATTGGCTATATTTAGTTGATCCTGGGTGAAATATGGCTTTTCTTTATTTTATACTAGCTTTACGTACGCGTCTGTAGTCACAGAAGAAGTAACAATGAAGTAGAATGGCGGGAAGTTTAAAATGGCTGAAAGTATAGTCTATGGAAGTATAGTGTACAGTCTCCATAGTGTAGTCAATTGGATTTGATGTTGACGTAGCTGTCGGTAATACAGTGTGATAATACAGTGTGATGGTACTATAGTGCTTAGGTTTGAGCTTCATTGCTGGAATGCCAGATGGCGTTAAAGTAGTCAAATAGCCAGATGCAGAGGTATTATTGGCTAAACAATTTTTAATAAATATTTTTTTTTATTAAATAAAAAGTAGCCTATAACTATTCGGGGACCACTTATAATATGTGTACAAATTTTCATGATGATAGGTTAAGTAGTTTTTGCGTGAAAGTGTAACAAACATCAGGACTTTCGCATTTATAATATTAGTAGGGAGTAGGGATGTGTTATATACAATATGTAAGTACCGGCGGTCATCTTCAATACGCTTTTTTCACTGCACAAACTTGCAAACTATTTTACACACCCTTCAAGTTATATTTACGCGATAAAAAGTAGCCTATGTTATTCTCCTTGGTCTAAACTATCTCCAAATCAAAATTTATCAAAATTCATCGAGTGGTTTTTCCATAGTAGAGTCACAAACATACAATTTTACATTCTATGCATTTATAACATTAGTTCGGATTTGTTCCATTTTACGTATTCATGCAATACATTTTCGACATTAAAAAATCCCCTCTGCGATGGTAAAAACATACATTAACCCCGTTGGAAATAACAATAAAAAGAAAACAAGAAAATAAAACGTCGCCGTCGACTTGAAACGAATAACTATTAAAAACTGGCGCAACGGGTGGTCATGCAAAGCGACGCTTAGCCCGCTGGCATTAAACGGCATTAACCCGCATACGCGCCCGCCACTTGGTCATAAACCCCTATCAACGTCAACAATAATACTCCACCTATATATTTGCAAGCAGCGTAGGCTGCAACATTTTGCAATACTACTCACTCAACCCCGCTTGTGTTGTGTTGTGAGCGAGTGCGCTTTCTGATATCGACTTGGACGATTTCGTCCAGGCGAACATTAAAGTGCATTAAACTTTTCCTGGCACACAAAGTGAATTTGTGTGCTTTGTGATCGTGTCTATGACTATATTGCGGTGGCCGGTATGGACTAATGTTGTAAATTTTCCACTGCGCACACACTGCGCCCGGGGTAAATGTACATTAACGCGCGTAATAAAATTAAAAATAGCTGATAACGACCCGGCGCCGACTTCGGGGGTGGCTTTTGCTTTTATGCGCACGTCGTAATCCTTTTTTCTGCACGTTTTATTGCATTAAGATGTTAAACGCCGCACAAAATGTATATCTAATATTTTTTTATTACAAAAAAGCGTCGTAAAAATATGGGCAACGCAAAAAAATATCTGCAGTATCTGAAATAATAGTCAACCGTTAATAGCTAGAGAGTACAACGCAAAAAGCGCGGTGAATTTTTTTTTGTTTCTGGCTGCAGGCTTTTTTATTTCGCAAACATCGCACGGAAACCAAACCAAAAATATGCGTATCACAGTGTAATCATCTAAAAATGCACAAAATACGAAAATAGGACAATACTATCACAACAAGCACTCAATTAAAAATGTAGAGTCAACGTTTGTGCGCTGATAAAAAAGTTTTTTCACTGGGTAAACTACAAAAAGATTAATTTCAACCCTCCGAAAATAATTCCACAATTTCATTCCAGTAAATCTCGCTTTGAATCGCATTTCCATGCAATTTTGTGCCGAAAACTGGTTTATGTTTACCTTTATTCGGTCAGCGTTCGTGCGCGCGATTTCAAAAGAACGCGTGTAATCCGCGCTGGGCGCGTGAAGCATAATGAAATGATAAAACCATCAGTAGCTGGACCTAAATGTGGACATGTTGGTGAGCTGTCGACCGAATGGAATTGCTCAAAGCCCGCACTGACATTTCATTAACCGGGGGCCAGGTATGTTTAGTTTTATTTACGCACCGCATTTACAACAATTACGGTGGTGGCGCTTTTATGCGCCTGTTTTCCATTTGCTAATTTGTTTTCATATCCGCTGCGGAGTTGTGTACATTTTCTTAGTGGAGAAAATTTTTGAACACATGTTATGGTTATAAACACACGTGTGGTGGAAAATGTGGTTTGTTATGTTGCTAATTGTTTATTTTCCTGTTTTTGGGAGTTGCGTGGATGCTGGATTTTGCGTAATTAAGTAAATTTTTATTAAAATCACATTTTTCAGTCCCAAAGTTTTTGTTTAAAGATTTTTTAAGTTTAGAGGCTGAAATGTTGTTAATTGGAAGCGTAAACTTTGACAGATTCTTGTTTTTTAATAGTTTTTCTTTAGTTTAGTTAGTTATGAAATTTAATTGTTTTCGCGAAGAGTTGCAAAAAGTTTTCACGAACTTTTTCCTCCGCACATTGTAACTAAACGCCGCCGGTTTTCAGCCGCTTGGTTTCATTATGTCCTCGCTCGCTATTTGTGCGGACGCTTTTCCCAACACTTAACAACTTTACAATCACGATGAGTAAACAGCTTCAGCGACGCTTTCTTTTACTATTCTTGCAGTGTTTAACTATAAAAAATAGTAAGCTGTGGATTATTTCGAGTTAAAATGAGAAATGAAGCCGAAAACTTTACGAATTTGGTATTTATGAGCAGGAAAAAGGCGTGATAATATGAAAATATGAAAATATGAAATATTCAAAAACGCAAATTATAATCTAATAAGGCAGTCGCAGGAGAGTCGTGGCGTTTGCTTGCTCACTTATTAAGCAGGCGTGACGACAGGTTTTAATTTCTCGCGAGGCGTCCTTATGCCGCAGGTTTAGAACGATAATAAAGCGACGAAGATGAGCAAAAGGAGTGATGACTTACTAGCGGCAAGGAAGCTCGGAAGCGCGCCTTATTACATTCCGCGTTTTTACATTATTTATTCAATATCGAGTGTATTAAGCAAGTCGAGGGGACGCAGATCCTTTCGCGGTCGTTTTCTTTATTTGATGTAATGATGAGCGGCGAAGTCGTAAATCAAACAAAGTTGGAAGTATAAAATGAAAAATTGGATTATTTTATTTTTTTTTAAGAAACAGCTTGGTTTTAAATTGTGGCTCGCATTTGTGTCACATTATCCAGGCGTTTCTGGTGACGGTGAGCTCGGAATAATTGCTTTGGCATACCTACATCCCCGGCGCCTCCACACGCTTTGAGTCATCCAGCCCCCTCAAGTGTAGCGAAAACTCTTGAGTGTGTAACACACTGTTTCGAAACGACGCGTTTGCAAGCTTCGCACGGCTTAG